AAATGGGGAATCGATACCAACATCAAAAATTACGGTACAGCCTACGTCACCACCCTACAACTCCCCAAAACTCACAACGCATTTTTTTACTCTAAGTTCGCCAGGGGACCGACTTTCAAAAACTGCAAAGCTTCGTCGTCCAAAGGGTATAGTAGTAAACTTGTGTAGAAATTTTCATCCAAACCCAAACAGTACTTTCCAAGTTATAGATGGGCCAGGGATTAGCGGACAGACAAATGACAAACAAACCGACAGACAAAACCAAGGGAAATCAGTTTTTCGTGGTGTATATGTCATATAACATAAAAAGAGCAATGGATATGAACAAGAATTGCCAGGATGTTTTAATTTCCACACTAGGATTACTCTAGCCGTTGTCTATCATGAATATGTGGACTGCGTTAGGTTTTCTAACACATTTTCAAAAAACGTTGCGCATCATTGATTTCTAGATACATTCGTTTCTTTGATGAATCGGATATGTCAATTTGAAACTGGGAGGTGCAGGAACTCTCAAACGACCTATGATCCAACTCAAATTCAACCCCATGATATGGCTCAAATTATCTAAGTGTAGCAGTATATAAAATGAAAATTTTGCTCTAAAAAGTCATATAAAGCAATCTTAATTCTCTTTTACTTTGCGGTGTATGAGAATTATTTAGAAGGCCCAATTTTTGTATACAGGCAACCGTAATATTTAACGTGCTATGATCCATTCTATTCCGACTTTACTGTATGGCTATAAGGGGCACGTGCCCTGGGACTGGCTTGATGAGAGCCACAAATATAGGAACTAAATGAGATTTCCAAGAAATTTCCCAGCACCGCTCCCCCCTCTGGGTTTCACTCTACGATGGGCCCCCCCTGAATCAAACAATCAGTTCGGAGCAGCCTCAAAAACCTGGAATGCGTGAGATCTCACGCATTCACTAACAATAGAAGGATCTTCAGCAGCATTCGGGGTTTTAACTACAAGCTCTCAAAATTGGGATGAATATATGGAGGAAAATACTGAATCAACCTACTTGGCTCATTTTTTCCTTCAAAAATGTGAGACCTATGAAATAAATTATCAATACGTAGATGTTTTTAAAATCTTTTCCCAACTTTACCTACAAGACATGTACCAAACATAATTCTAGATAACCAATAAAATCCTACAAGACAGAAAACGGTGATCGTATTGGCATTAGACATTTTTTGTGCTACTAATTCTGTTTACTGAATGAGCCGAGTATTTTGGCAGTAGGTGTAAAGAAATGGAATCTTCGAGTATTGGCTAATTCAATATGACTTGGATGTTAATGTACAATTTCCATGATGTAAAATGTATATGTATGACTAAAAGCGGTTCTAAATATAAATCCGGTCAATAAAAAATGTCCCGATAAAAGTATTGTGTTTGTATTCACAATAGCCAACTTACAAAATAATGACATCACAGTTGTTCTAGGAGCATCTAACGGAATTATATTTTAATCAATTAGCTACGAGAATGATCGTCATCAAGATGTCCACAGGTCCGAGGCCTCGGAAAAAATGAGAAAAATTAGTATTTTGTGAATAAAAATGAGTAAACAATGAGTAGTTTGGAAACCTTTTTCTCATATCACTGCTTGCGTCTATCACCAAGAAAGCGCAATGAGCGGTTGACCATATTTTGACATTTCATGCGTTAGACTTACAATGTTGTTTCAGCTGCTTTTGAAACCGGCTGACGCCACATTCAGCTCGACTGTTTTAGGATGTTTGCCGTTTCATCTATTTCGAGTGCAGATAGATTAGGTTATTTCTTTTTCATATTCACTCATATTTGTGCAAAATTGTTTGTACTTGTGGAAAAACATGGAAACCAGAATACTTCTGATATCTTGAATGTGGTGTCAAAAAAAATAGATCAAAGGGACTGATCACGTGAGCTTGAAGTTCCGATGCCACGAGTCAAAGCACTGCCCAAAATTTACCACTTTTGCTCAAATAGCTCCCTCAGAGGGGATATATACTAAGTGACATATAAATCCGAACACCCAGTTTAAATGGTTTTATTTTAATAAAATTTTGTATAAGTACTTAATGAAGCATAATAAGTAAATGATAAACATTTCAAAATGATTGCACTGCTTTAAAACCCTTTGACCTTTAATAATGTGTGGATGCACCCTGATGTGCTACGCTTTCTCCAACGCGCCTAGGCATGCTTCTGATCAGGTGGTCAATGTCCTCCTGGGGTATCTCATTCCAGGCAACCACCAACTCCTCTCGAAGTGCTTCTAGAGTCTGAGGAGGACGTTGCAAATTGAGCAATCTCCTACCCATCATATCCCACACGTGCTCAATTGGGGATAAGTCGGGAGATCTTGGTGGCCATGGTAACAATGTGACATCATTATGTTGAAAGAAGTCTATTGTGACTCTTGCAACATGTGGTCGGGCATTATCTTGTTGGAAAGTTGGATCTGCCAGGGTGTCAAGATAGGGTAAAAGATGGGGTTCTAGAACTTCGTGGATATAACGCTGCGCGTTCATGTTACCTCTGATGAAGATTAAAGGTGACCTGGAACCATAAGCTATAGTACCCCAAACCATAACTCCAACAGTGTGATGAACATGTCTTTCAACAAAAAACTGTGGATTCCTCCTTTCACCACGTGGCCTTCTAACCCTGGCACGACCATCGTGCATGCCTAAACAAAATCGAGACTCGTCACTAAAGACAATACTATTCCATTCCTGATCCCAGAGTGACCGTTGTCAGCACCACTCAAGGCGATTACGTCGGTGTTCTCGAGTTAAAGGGAGGGCCCAGTGTGGCCGGTATGAAAACAAGCCAAAACTTCTCATTCGTCGGTAAACACTTCGCATGCCAATAGGTCTTCCGTGTTCTGCAAACCATTCATTTGCAATGGACCTGGTAGTGGAGAAACGGTCCCTTAAGGCCAATAATCTTAGGCGGCGATCTTCACGGTCTGTTGTTCTACGGCGGCGTCCAGTGCCCCTTGCTCTTTGCGTACGGCTTTCTCGAAGCCATGCCTGACAACACCTAACCACAGTGTCTACACTTCTTTGCACTCTAACTGCAATTGCCCAAAAAGAAAGTCCAGCTTCCCGAAGTAACACTTTTACGGCCCCTATCAAACTCACTAAGTTGACGAAATCGTACAGGTGTCCGTACTCTAGGCATCGTGACCGATCGTAAAGGATGTCAAGAACCAAGATCCGCCAACGTTGATTCTTTACTGCGGCTGAAATATTCATTTTTAGAGCGTTAGTGAATTAAAAAAAAGCAGTTTAAAAACCGGAATGTCCAACTGATAAGGCTGAAAATTTTTTCACTTGTTATTTACAGTAAGATAAATACATTCACCAACTTTTATTAAAATAAAACCATTTAAACTGGGTGTTCGGATTTATATGTCACTTAGTATATGAGCGAGCGGGTCCACTGCATTATAAAACATCTCGAAATAGATAGAAAAATGAGCATTTCAGGGAAATATGAGTAAAAAGGAGTAGCCAAAAAAATAATGAGCGTAAACGAGAGAAAATAGTTCGTGGATACCCTGCCCTCAAATGTACCTAGTGCATAAAAAATAGCTCGTTTGATATCCGAACAATTTTGGCTTCGATAACGTGAAAACAAAATTGTTGGCCGTAGCCAGACGAACATTAAAATCGCGTGAATTCCAGAAAGGAAGCCAAATATTTCCGTATTCAGTAGGGCATCACACAATGACACAAGACGCGTATATTCCATCTCACTTTGCTTGTATTTGAACGAATGTTTGGTAAATACATGATAACAAGAGGTGTATAATGTATCTAAAGTGTCTTGTTTACACAGGAGATAAATACAACCGAGAATTTAATGCAGTCACTTTATGAGTGTTTATAGCTTATACTCGTAGACCAAGAGCTGGTGTTCCAGGGTTGCTCTGGACATTAAACTATAATCTCACTAGATGAGTAAAGATAAGTTTTATGTTTAAGATATTGACCTAAAATTTTATACTATACGCTCATATAGTTATTTATAGGCTACAGTTCCATCTATTCGACACTAATCTTTTCGAAATAGATTTCTAATTGTTGCAGAGAGGAGAAACAAAAAGGGATAAATTTTAATATATGACGACCTAGTATCTCATTTTATCTTGGACAATTTTCAGACACTGGAACATAGTATTAAGTTGGCTACTTCTCATAGAAAATGTTAACAAATGCTATCATATAAAAATATATTGTGAACTAGGCCTTAGAAAAGGATGAAACTAAAATATAAATTCAGTATAGTGTAGCAAATAGATCATGAAACAATATTTTCAAAATGTATCATTTTCGAGAAAAAATACTGAGAAATCAAAAACAAAACATGCTCTTAGACTATAGTACCACTTTGGTAGAACAATGGATTAACAGTTATTCAATTTTCATGAACACAACAAACAAATCCTTGTATTTTGAGAGAATGTTTCCTGAACAAATCAGCATTTAATTTCGCGTCCGACGCATTTTCCAGAATTAACAAATGCATGGGATTCAACAACAAAGTGATTTGATAGACATTTGGTACTTTTTGAGGATATCCTTCATAAGAAATGGTTACACTTATAGCAAATATTTATGTGGCTATAAAATATAAGCACACTGTACACAAAACTTCAGAATGTTTTTTTACTGATAAGTACCAAGAGAGTATGGATCGAATCCCTAATGTTTGTCCGGCTCAAATCAAACCACATATGTTTTAAATTATCTATACTTCTAAAACCTTAAAGGTGGTTTTCTGGAATGTCATATGAAATTTGATGTATCCAAATATATAGATACTCAGTTAAGTCAGTAATTTCAGTTCCATGGATGTGCACAATCAATTCCTGATCTCTGATTTCTGTGAGATAAAAAAAAACTGTAACATAAAATTCATGATTCATAAGAGAATGTCAGAAATAGGAACCCCTTAGACAGAAATACAAAGAATGACATGCAAAAAAACTTACCATTTAGAGACCAAATATGTGAAGGCAAGGAATGTGCAGCATAAACCCTACCGAGGGCAATATTAGCTGCAGTTGAGCCAAGAAGACTACCTGCATCTTCTGCTGAACTGCTGTCTGTTTCAGGACTGGCGCCAGTCGAAACATCAAAACTGGCGCCAGTCGAAACATCAAAACTGGCGCCGGTGGGGGGCATTGACAGAGCTTCATGACTGGCATGGAGGTCTGGCACACTAGACAAGGACCTGAAAATGATAAAACAACCATTATTTGTTCGCTAATTCAAGTAATATTGGAACAGAAAAATATTCAAAAGTTCTTGAACCCAACTGATGATTGTTACAATTTTCACAAAAATTGTTCAAAAGGTGTTTAATAGGACAGTCTAAAAACATAGAGGACAGTGTCCTAAGCTGGACCTCTCGCCTAGAGCGAAAATCCTAGTCTCATTGGCTCTACATCCTGTGAACCTCAAGTATTTCCAAGTGTAAATAGTAGCTTAGGTATCTACCATTTCGTAGTTTAGCGCACGCTCGCCTCGCGTCACAGAAACATAAATGCCGGGACACCGCACTTGATATGATGATCCCAAAGAAATTTTGTTAATCCGATTTCTGAACTTCCTAAGGATAGTGGAACTGGGGAAAGCTCGCTCTTGTAGATTGTTCCACAATCTCGACACCCTTGGGACAAAGGAGCGGTCAGTTCTGGGATATACGAAGTTCAACATGGTTAGGATGATCATGGCAGAGAGCGCTGAGGAGCAAAGCCCGTTGGTGTAGCGGTTGATGAGAGCTAGATAGCCGGCGACCCGCCGGTGCGAAAAGGTCCCGAGACTGTCTGTTAGAGAAGAGTCATTGATCAGTCTAACAGCCCTCCTCTGGACAGCAACGAGCATAAGTAATGTATTGTATAGCGTGAGAAGGTCATGCAGAGAAAAGTACTTCTTAAACCTAAACAGATAGCCTAGCTTTTTCCCAGCAGCTGTCGTTATTGACGAAATAAAGGATTATGTGTTTTGATAGTGATAGGTAATTCAATTATTTTCTTAATACTTTTTTTAGCTTTTATAGGTATCTTGCACATGATATAATAAACACCATTAAGTCAATAGTTCTTCATTAAAAACAACAAGTTTTCAGTTCCATCCGCCAAACAAAATCATATGGATTGAGAGCTCACAGACCTTACATTAATTGTCATGTTACTGATGTGGATTCATGGCTTTTGTATTTAAAAATCGTCGGTTTTTACATACTTGCAGTAATGTACCATTGAAATTAAGAAATATATACTTCAACAGGGTGAATACTGGAACCACTTGCAAAAGGGTATCTGCTGACACTGTGACCAACTGACGCATTCCTGGTTTCAGTAGATTTGTGCTAGTTTCACACTATCATTTCTTGTTTCCCTATGCATTGATCAAGGTCAAATCGCGAAATTCTCACATTAACATGAAAACATGCACATTTCTAAAATACTGGCCATTATACAGGGTGTGCCAATTTCGACCTACATATCAAAGTTGTGATTCTTCAAATGGAATGCCTCAAATTTTATTGCATATTTGGATAAACCAATTCAAAAGAAGAAAATTGATATAACATACTATGGGGTTTTGGTAATTAGCTACTGAGATATAAGGTATTTTGTCTAGAAAAACTCCCCACTTCGGCAACCCCTCAATCCGCCATTATGAAATTTGGAGTGCTGAATTTTGTATCAAAAAAAACTTACACAACTCAGCTTTTTTTATACTAGACACATAAGGGTTTTTACGGCTATTTTTTCGATTATTAGCACGTCTTTTATGGAACAGCTTAATTCCCTAAAATATAGCATCATCCTTGGGAACAAATGAATTGTTGATTAGTTACAAACTATCAAAATTAGCTTTGTGAGCATTATAATAAACACGTGTTTGAAAATGAATTTTTCTAAAGAAGAAATGGTGAATATGGTGCTCGTTTTGGGCGAAGCCCAAAGGAACAGTTTCCTAGAATCTCGGATTTATAACCAACGGTACCCTATGAGAAAGTTTTGAATCTAGTGCAGCAGTGGAATATAGTAAAAAATGTATAAATAATCCAAGTGTCACCAATGAGGCGAATCAGTTGGAGGTTCTATTAAAGTTGCAGGAAAATCTCCATTTAAGTGCACGGCACATTGGAGCAGAAACTGATATATGCAGAGCTTCTGTCCAAAGGATTATTCACAAGCATAGCTACCATCCATATCACCTATGCTTGCATCAAGGCCTTCATCCTCAGAATTTCGCAGCTCCAATGGAGTTTAGTAGAATAATGCTAAATAAAGTGAGGGAAGACACTAATTTCCTGGATAAGGTTCTTTTTAGCGATGAGGCAACCTTTAACAGCATAGGTGTTGTCAACAGGCATAACATGCACTATTATGCGACGGAAAACCCTTACTGGGTTAGGCAATTAAATTTCCAAAATAAAGGGAGCTTGAATGCTTGGGTAGGAGTTATTGGCATATCAGTTATCGGGCCTTTCTTTTTCGATAATAGATTAACAGGTACTTGATTTTTTTGATCGAGCATTTGCCTTTGCTTTTGGAGGATGTCAACCTGCAAACTCAGATGCATATGTACTTCCAACATGACGGCGCACCTGCGCATTATCATAATCGTGTGTGTAACTATTTGGACACCTGGAGAAACAATCGTTGGATCAATCATGATGGGCCTATATCTTGGTCACCTAGATCACCAAATATGACACCGATGGACTTCTTTCTATGGGGCTACGCTAAGCAAGAGGTTTATAGATATCCACCATCTACACTGGAAAATATGAAGGAAAGGATTAAGGATGATTTTCTGGGAACACATGCTGAGAGATGTGCATCGGTCATTTATCCAAAGACTACGGCTGTGTATTCAACATGGTCGAGATATTTTCGAGCCGTTTTTGTAGATTAGGTCTTGAGTAGTGATTGTTGTTTGTTTATGTTATTTTATAGTTGTTTTTCTCCATTATGCTTGAAGCTGATTTATACTGTTCTGATGGTTATTATTTTTCACGTTGTGATATCTGTACTCTTAGTCGCAATATGGAACTAGCCCACTATTTGTCTTTTGTTTCCATGGATGATGTGATTTTTTTCCTTAGTTTTGGTGTGTTATTCTATTAAAAGCTTAATAACTCAAAATCTAGTGATTTTATCTGAATCAAATCTTATACAAAAAAGCTTATAAAAAATCGAATCCAAACTTGCACAAATATACAGGGTGATGCATTTGAAATTTTTGAGAAAAAGTACAATTCGCGTCTTTGACCACCCTGTATGAGCAATAATGAAAATTCAAAAAAGTACAAATAAGAGCTGAGGTCTGTAAGTTTTTTTTTGATACAAAATTCAGCACTCCAATTTTCAAACTGGCAGATTGAGGGGTTGCCAAAGTTGACGGTTTTTCTGGACAAAACACCTTACATCTCAGTAGCTAATTACCAAAACCCCATAGTATGTCATATCAATCTTCTTCTTTTGAATTGGTTTATTCAAATATGCAATAAAATTTGAGGCATTCCATTTAAAAAATCACAACTTTGATATGTAGTTCAAAATTGGGACACCCTGTATAAATGCCAATATTTTAGAAATGTGCCCTCAAATGTCATTCATAACATGCCATAAATAGATTCTCCCAAAATGTATTTGTTTATGAGTAATATTGTATCCACACATGGATGGGCCACCCTGTATATTTTTTCACATGCTTCTGAAACATATACTTTTCATATATATATATATTTGAAATCAATAACAAAATGGGTGCTAAATTTCTAGTAATTTCCTCTAACAAAAATAGGAGGATCAGCACAAAATAACTTGTGTGCATTTATTCTGTAAATTACTAATATGCTTAGAGTAAAATCTATAAAGATTACAAAGTTCAATAGTCCAGTTGATTCTGGAATGTTAATGAATAATGTACCACCAAAAGTTTTGTTTGCTGACCTCATAAAAATTGCAGACAAGGATGATTCATTAGAGCAAAGCAAACTACTCTCAACTTTGTTGTCTGTCTATACTTAGTGATTTACTTTCAACAGATTGTTCAACTCAGCCAGCTAGTTTTGTAAAGCTGCTACCAATGACAGCTGTATAAAGTGGACGTATCTAGCATCATCTGCCAGAATGTCTAGCAGATTTAGTAGTGTTAGAAACACTCGGTTATTGGGTAGACAACAAATTCAGAACCAAGTGCCAAAAAGAATGTTTTTGATTCTGGGGCAGGAGATCAAACAAAAAGACAGATTTGTCAACATTTTTTGTATACTTGATTCATTCACAGCATTCAACCTCTGGTTAAAACTAGTGTTTTCTAGGTAAATTCAGGTTTATGTTAGTATGATGTGGTATAAATATAGGTACCAAGAGCTGCATTGTGAGAATTATAACCAAAGTTGGACCTGAATCATTAGTTGAACCGTAAAAAATAACAATTTCAAAAGAAAAACGTGCAACCACAACACAAACAAGTTTGAAACAAAAACAACACTGCTCCTCTCAAGGCTGATTTTCTAGACTTCTAGAGCAATGACATCTTTGTGGAGCCCACTGGGGGACATTTACCTGGCTCTCTGTCGATCGTTGGACATATCCATACCCAAAGACCTCATGAAGCGAAACCCGGGGGCTGCCACAACCTCAGAGCTGCTACTGGTAGAGAAGGCCCGGGTTCGGGGGCTCTGAGTGCCGTTCGCAGTGCTTGGTTTGGCTCCCATGACTTGCACTTTTCGCCTTCAAAACACGCTGTCTCGCGGCCCCTTTATCTCATATTACCAGCGCTGGTCATGAATTTTCGCCAACACTTGCGTACGACATATCTGCGACACCACGGTTTTTCCGGATTTTCGAAAAGACTTTCTGCACTGATCAGAAGCTCGCTGATAGTCCGAAGTTACGGTAAATGATCGCAGATGCAGGGGAAAAGCGTCTGAAAGTGGAAGGTTCGCTAATTACTTTGCCTTGGTATTTTTCCTTTATCGTCTTTAACCAAATTTTTGACATTTCACGCACAGGAAAGGTTCATACAATAGTTTTCAAGGTAGTGCTCCAGATGTCGCCTTGAAACGAGATTGTAGCGCCCTCCACTTAAGAGCAAATCAACTACAGATACCTGAAATAGATTCCTAACCTACTGAAATCAATAAAGCAACATATAGCTCACAGATGACAATACATATTATTTTTTCTGATTTAAATGTAGAAATTCTTAAAGAAAATGATTTCTAATTCATAGTCAATAGTAAAACATGTAGCTCATAGATGAGGCGACGTAATTTTTTGTCAGCGCTACCTATTTTGGAGCAATTTAATGATAGCGCTGGAATAGATTCCTAATGTAGTTGTCAATTTAATCAAATTTACAACTAGCAGATGTCGCTACGAGGCGAGTTGGTGAAGATATATAAAGATTTATACTTCTAGCAAGTTAGATTCCAGAGCTATCTAACACAAAGATGGTTCACGGTGAAGATTGGTACATGCCATTCAACAAGACGTCAGCTGGAAGCAGGCGTGCCGCAGGGGTCAGCCTTAGCCCCCCTGCTCTACAACATCTATACTTACGATGTGCCGAAGACAGCTGACACAATGCTGGCCCTATATGCAGACGACACTGCTATAGCCGCCAAGCATAGACGACCCGAGATCATCCGTAGGAGACTACAGGGTGAACTGGACCAAATTCAGGACTGGTGCGTGAAATGGAAAATCCGCATCAACGTCCAGAAGACGCAGGCAATCTTCATTCAACGAAGAAGGATTGCAAGACCTCTCGAAGCATCCATCTTCGATGAAGATATCCAGTGGAGCGACAATGTCAAATATCTGGGGATCGTTTTTGACAAGTCCCTCACCTGGAAAGCGCACATAGAAGCTGTCATCGCAAAAACCAGAGCAGCCATGGCTCAACTCTATCCATTACTGGGTAGATACAGCCAGATGCCGCTAGCGACCAAGCTACGGCTGATCAAGGCCATCGCCAGACCTCAGCTCGCTTACGCCTCCGCGGTCTGGGGGTACGCTGCCCCCAGCTACCGCAAGCGACTTGCTGCTCTAGAGATGAAGCTACTCCGGATCGCCACCAATGCACCTTCCTACGTAAGGAACTCAACCTTGCGTAGAGACCTGCATTGGGATACCATCCACGAGTACATGAGGAAAAAAGCGGAGAAGACCTTCGAGAAAGCTCAGGACCACCCGAACGAGCAGCTACGATTCCTCATGGACTACGATCCGGACGAGAGGCCTCGCAACCGCAGAACCAGGTACCCCAGACCAAGGTCCCAGTTGGCACCCGCTAACTGGAACCTTGACTAGGAGACTAGGAGAATTTGCGGCTGCTCCCCCCCCCCCCCACGGCGTGGATGCAGAGGACCAGGAACCACCCGGACCAGGACCCACCGGGACCAGGACCAACCAGGACCAACCAGGACCAGGACCCGCCACGACCAGGACCCACCAGGACCAGGACCCTTCAGGACCAGGACCAGGAACAACATATTGGTAAGATGACTTGAAACTCTTGATTTTTCGAAAACAAGAGTTTCAAGAGAAACTAGCAGACCCTCTATCGATGATCGCTTAACGACATCGATAGAATGTGCGAGGTAAAGGGAACCAACCCGGCGTTCCCAGAGACTGAAACACATGAGGAGACGTTGTAGCAGACCGCAGGTCACGCACAACACATGGCCTACCGAGACGCTGATGAGTCGGGCCACGCGGAGGTTTAGGGTTTAGTGGGTATTAGGTGATCTCTTCAAGACCCTGGAGCCCCACACACGTCGTAGCTCGTGCTATGGTATGGTGCGTAAATGCATTCCCCCCTCGTTAAAAAAAAAAAAAAAAAAAAAAAAAAAAAAAAAAAGTTAAATTACACTAGGAGGGCGAAGTGCTGCAAAATGCATTATTATTGTTCAGAATATTTGGAGAAGTATAACGACGCGCATTGAAAAATGAGCTTAAGGTCAAGCCTTACAAGTTCCAAAAGACGCACGATCTTACACCGACGCAGCAACAAGTAAGACTTGACAGAGCTTAGGAGCTGCTTCAGCTGCTTCGCTTGGCCGAAAGTGGTCAATTTCCGAACATCGTGTTTTCAGTCAAGGAAATTTTTCTAATTGAGCAATTTGTAAACTCTCAAAACAATAGGGAACGAACGTACTCAGGAGAATTTGAGCCACCGGCACCAGCTAAGATTGGGATTTACAAAACGCTAATAAGCCCAGTGGTCACGTATAAAACATGGTCGATAACAAGGGCAGAGCAAGCAAAACTCGAGATATACGAACCGAACGTGTCAAGAAGATTTTTGGTGTACCACAGGGATTAGTCTTAGGACCGCTATTATTTTCATTATATATCTCAGATTTAGAAACAGAGGTAAAATCATGCAGCATACAATTTTTTGCAGATGATACTCAAATTTTCTATTCATTTAGGAGTAATGACTTGGAAACCGCAAATAATAAAATTAATCAAGATCTTGCCCAAATTGAAAAGTTCAGTAGTAGTCATAATCTTCGTTTGAACCCTTTGAAGACAAATATGTTGGTATACGCAAATAGAACAAAAAATGACATAGACATACATTTAAAAGGTTATAAATTAATTCCTGTGGATCATTCGAAAAACCTAGGTATTATAATGGATGATGACTTAAAATTTGTTGCACACGTGAACTATCTAATTACGCAGTGCTATGCTATTCTCAGAGTTTTATTTGCAAATAAGGCTATATTACATAAATCTACGAGAAAGCAATTGTGTGAATATTTCGTATTTTCAAAGATATCGTATTGCTTAGTGGTTTACTATCCCTATTTAGATATTATAACAAGAAATCGTATTCAAAGTATTATGAATACATGTTGCAGGCTTGTAAATGATCTCAGAAAATATGATCATATATCGAATGCCATTAATGAACTCAAATGGATGAAAATTGATAAAATGTATAAGTACCAGCTCCTAAATCTGACTCATAAGGTTCTTTATTCAAAAACACCGTCATATTTAGTAAACAAATTCATACGTAGAGGGAATATGCATCGTATTAATATTAGATATAGAGAGACTTTTTCAATTCCACGCCCCAGCACGTCTCTATTTCAGAATTCATACATTTACAATGCGATCAAATCATATAATTCTTTAGAACGCAGTTTAAAAGAAACCAATCCATTATCCAAATTCAAAAAAAAGTGAAAGAAGTTCTTCTTGATCAGCAGCGAAATCGGTTGTAACCCATAAGTGTCCTCATATTTTCCTTATGTATTTACTTGGATTATTCGTTATTGTATACAGGTGCCTATTAATTTTCAATAAATTCTTTTTTTTTTTTACATCTCGTATTGTTAAGGGGGTTAGATGGTAGAATAGATATATAATCTAAATCTCGCCTCCTGTAAGAATATTACAAATAAAAGACGTTAATTATTATTATTATTAAAATATTAGATAATGGTACGTGGATACGAAGAAAAAATGATGAGTTGAAAGAAGTGATTAAAGAACCCAAAATATGGAAGAACATAGAGTACCGAAGGCGCTGCTCCCTCATTCAATAGGAGGGAAGAAAAGGAGAGGCAGACCCAAGACGAGGTGGAAAACTGAGATGAAAGAAGACATGAGGAAATTATATATAAATGACTGGGATAGAAGAACAATGAATAAAGAAGAATGGCGAAGGATTGCCAATCAGGCCATGAGCTTATTAGGCCTGTAGTGCTAGAATGTATATTTTATTGCTACTCAACGATGACAAAAAATGAATAAACAAACACAAATTAAAATAGACGGACTTTTCGGTTCTTAGCCTCACCGAGTTGTTTCATCATTAACATGAGCTGCTATTTCCGCTTTAATTGATAGAAATAATTGAGCAGATAGTATCTCTTGGCGCATCGTGGTTCTCAAGCAGATCATAATCAACTTTAGCTTTGAGCAGCTTCTCTCAATAAAAGCTCTACTGACTGCAACTGTTAGCATGAATTTGATTGTTGTTTCGATATACTTTTTTCGCATAATATGTATATACTGGATAAGTTGTCTTGCGTTACTGACAGTGCGATGAACGGGATTTTAAAAGCTGGAGTTTTTTATGTAGCTCGAAAGGCTGTATGACGCTATTTTCACCTTTCCAAAGTATTGTACCAAGTCTGCTGTCACTGCTTGACAAGTTTCTCGTTTAATATAAATTTCAAGAGAGCACATATTCTCTTGAAATTATGAAATTGATTCAAGATCACAAATATTCGAAATAAGATCATATTATTGTTTCAAATAGAATTCTTTCATTAGAGGAATGAATTTCACTTCGAATGAATATGTTTTTAGACTTCTAGAAACAAAGCATATCATATATTATTTTTTCAAATAGAATTCTTACAATTGAGGAATGTATTTCAGTTCGAAGAAATATGTTTTTAGACTTTTAGAAACAAAGCATATCATATTAGTCACGACCCTCAATCCAATATAGATGGGTTTGATCTAAGAGCCAAATAGTTTTTCTCGCAACACTGATTACAATCATATGTAACACTTGATAAAAGATTTGCTCTTATTCAGTTTAAATTATTAGGTTGTTCGAAAATTTCTTCAGATTCAAAGGAGCATATCTCTCAGCTTTAACAAAACTTTATTAATCAAAATAAAAACCATCAGAATAACTACACTTTCGCCAACGAAAAATAAGTATTCATGTCGCTAAAGTGGAAATCCGGAGTTCTGGAGGCGTTGAACTCATTGAAGGCATTTTTGACATCGTCATGGTTATTGAAGAATTTTTCGCGAAGTTGTCGATGTGTTTGAAAAAGTGGTGGTCGATGGGCGAGAGGTCCGGCGAATATGGTGGTTCATAGCCCAATTCGTTCAGCTTTTGCAGGGTCGGTTGTGCGACATGTGACCGGGCGTTGTCGTGGCCTCTTCCTATTTACCAATCTAGGGCACATACGTCGGAGCTTCTGATGAATTTCATCGATTTGCTCGCAGTGCTTCTCCGCCGTAATCGCTTCGCCCGGATTTAGAAAGCTGTGGTAGATGAGACAAACTGTAGACCACCAAACAGTCACCATAACCTTCTTTGGATGAAGTTTCGGCTTCGGGAAGTGTTGTGGAGCCTCGTCGCTGTCCAACCATTGTGCAGAACATCGCCTATTGTCGTAGATAATCCACTTTTCATCTCATGTCACAATCAGGTTGAGAAACCGGTCGTTTTTTGGTGCGTAGAAGAATGGCAGATGCGGTATCCATTTATCGGGCTTTTTTGACTTTTCGATACGTTTCAAGTGGCGGGAAATGGTCACAATACCCACATCAAGCTGCTCCGCAAGCTCACGAACGCTTGTGCGCGGGTTTGCTTCGTCCAGGACCTTTAATTCGTCGTCGCCGACATCATGTGGCCGACCAATGCTCTCTTCATCTTCCAGGCTCTCTTCAACGCTACGGAACTTCTTGAACCACCATTGTGAATTTGAACTGGAATAAGGAAATCATGCGAATTTGCTTCTTGTCCATCCTATATTTGAATATTTGAAGTCTTGAAAAAGAAAAACAAATCATCCTAAAACAAAACGAATACAATGACTAGATAGGGCGAAAAACGCGCTTTAGAATGATATATAAAGTCAAAGTATTATAAATAAATTTTAGTGTCAAATACACCATTTAAAAAATAAATAACAAAAACCGCAAGAACTTTCCGAACAATCTAATACTTTTTGCAGTCCACAGAAATCTCCACCATTTTCGACAACTATATGGAATACCAGGGTTGTATGGAACCCACGCTCTTTTATGTTATATACGTATGTATGAGGAGGTACCCAAAAATAACCGGAATAGAATTGCAGCGGGCAGAGCTTGTGTAGTACACATTTCAGCCCCTAGAGGCGTACAGTGCAACTCATTACCAGTTCAGTGTCACCTGAGTTGTCGATTTGGCTTGTTTCGTACCTCTGTAGTCATTATGTTTGCTAGAGGTGTTTCGTGCTTGTTTCGTTTTTTACGATGGCAAGCTTCAGTAAGAAACGTGAAAAATTCGAGAGCTTGTGCTATTTGGAGGTTTTAAGGCGATTTCGAAACAGTTTTCGGCAAAAAAGAGCATTTGTGGCAGTTAGGAGACTGGTTCTTCCACCATGATAATGTACCTGCGCACACATCCATCTCTGTTCGACAGTTTCTGGCTAAAAATGGCATGGATTCGCTGTCTCATGCACCTTATTCGCCTGACCTAGCTCCGTGCGACTTTTTCTTATTTCCACGGATGAAAAGGGGCATGAAAGAATGCCGCTTTGACGACATTGAAGAGGCCAAGAAAAAAATCGAGGGAGGAGCTGTCAGACATTTCTAAGGAAGACTTCAAAAAATGTTTCAAGCAGTGCAAGCACCGATGGGACAAGTGTATTAGTTGTAATGGACAGAATTTTGAAGGAGATAAGGTTACTTTGTGAAAAAGTTGAAAATAAATAGCTTCTAAAAAATAATATCTTTTTTTTTTGGGAACCCCCTCGTATGTACGAGTATACTTAATCCTTCTACCTAGTATGAATTGGTTGAGCAGGGAGGGTGTTCTCGAATCTCGGATGCGACATATTTTCGATCGAGACACTGAAATTTTATTTTTGTGATCCTTGTCATCGTCTATCACTATGCTGTCACTTTTTTTAGTTATTTGGTTTTAAGATGGGTGTTGGAGAAAGAAATAAGGACAAAAAAGTACGCATTTTCAAGCAACGTGCAAATTCGTTAAAAGGAGTCCTTTTTGAGTAATATTATGCAGAAAACCGATTCGATTCATACTATTTCTCAGAGCAGATGTTAAGCTACCCTCGAACTAGTGATTCAATATATCAATGGCTGTGATGTTGGTAGATAATCTGAATTCGAAAAATAATAATATATTGTAAAGCTAAGTATATAGTAGCTGTGGTTTATGTCGCTGCATGGTATAAGAGGATAACTTCAACTTCATTTCTTTCTTATAATAATGAAGCGTTTTTCTGGATTCTTTTGGGTGTGAATTAAAACACTCGATTCCACAAAAAGAAATGCGCTAATTTATTTACAACATAACCAACTTTAACTTACCAACTAGATGCCGAAGGAGAGTCCTTGGCGCGGTTCCCAACAGATGGCGCTAGTAGTACCATTCATTCTTGTTACACTGAGCCCTCCCTAAAGTCATTCCGTTCCGGAATGATCTTATTGGTGGTGAATGTCGATATCGGCACGACTGCCCTTTCTGAGTTCTTGAGGAAGTAACAAACCACACTCTTTCCAGGAGGTAGCCGTCTAGGTCTGTGACAACATACCAGAAATAGAATGCCTGTATACCGGAAGACTACCTCAAGTATGCTTCGGATGATTCTCCAGTCCAGATTGTCCAGTCCTCATGCCAGCTTAGGTATTGCCAGTTTTCTTAGGTCCTCGGCAAGCAACACTTCCCTAAGAGAACACAAAGCGTTCCAGGCATCCTCGTAATTCGGTTTCTGATATGAAGCTTTCTTGGTAACCAGATAGAAGATCTTTCGGTTGGTGCCCTCTTCAGACATCTGGAGTACTTCTCCGATTTCCGGGTTAGACTGATGCAGCTCGGGCACTCTTTCAAACTTCCTGAGAAAGAGCTTTGCTATACCTCTCGACATTTGCTACACAGTGTGCCAAGGCATACTCTGGTGAAGTGGTAAACAGATCTTGCTGTACTTCACATGTCACGCCATGCCGGCTCTTATGGCCATTGATCAAATGCCATGTCCGGTTCTGGTTGGATTTGCCGCACTGCCCCATCTTCGTTGTTTCCATGATAACGGGCAAGTCGGTTGAAATGTACAATTCGGGTTTTACCGCGTGGTGCCGTCTGAATCCTGTAGAGAACATCGTTGATGGCTTCCAAACCTTTATATGGAACGTCCCAGTATGATTGAAGTTTAGGCGACAACCCTTTTCGCCTCTTTGGGTCATAAAGACGAACCGTATCACCGTTGTCATACATCTGATCTTTGGCATTAACGTCATAAGCTTCCTTCATCCGGTCGCTGGCACTTTGAATTGAAACACGAACCTGGCTATGTATGGCGTCCATTCTTCAACACAGATCACTTACGTAGTCTGCTCCGGCAATATCAGTTCCTGGTGGACAGCCTAACTTTATATCGCATGGGAGACGAAGTTCTCTTCTCATAGCTATTCGAGCCGGGGTCTCTCCTGTGCTTTCATGAATCGACAATCGGCAAGTCAATAAGAAGAGGTGAAGAAAACTATCCCAGTCTCTTTGATGGCTAGAGACTCGCTTAGCCAAATACCGGTTAATGGTCCTATTCATGCGCTCCAGACTGCGGGTGTAAGGCAATAGTCCCGGTCTTCTTAATTCCAAGGATTTCAGATATTTTAGAACAGATTTGACTGGAAATCGCGCCCTTGGTCCTATAGCAAATCGACAGATCAATTCCTTTACTAAAGCATCGGCTACCGGATAGACTTCCCGATTTGGTAGAGCGTATGCATCAACCCACTTGCTGAAGTAATCCATTACCACAATGATGTATTTATTCTGTGCTTCAGTTTCTGGAAAGGGTCCCGCCACATCAATAGCAATCCTTTCAAAGGGGCTCCCCACGTTGTATTGGCGCACCGACGCTTTTAGTTTCCTTTGCGGTCCATTACTTGCCGCACACACAACGCATTTTCTGCACCAGTCTTTTACGTCCGCCTTGCTATGGACCCAGTAAAATCTTTCCCTCACTTTTCACAGGGTTTCTGTAACTCCGAGATGACCCCCTCACACACTGGAATGGATTTCTTCTAGCAGCTCCGGGATCCGACATCTGGGAATAACGATTTGCCTTATTTTGTGCCCAATATGATTTTTTGATAGGGGAATACTTGGCAACTTCTTTCCAGGCTGGTTTCCGTTGTTCTTTCATCCAGTTCAGAATTATTTGGAGATCGGTGTCGCCCTCTTGGTCTTTAATGAGGTCTTCATTTTGCCAAGTATCACTATCGATAGTGGTTCTTAGTACTTGGGCATCTTTCTCCTTTGCTCGCTGCGAATGCTAACAATCCCCTAAACAAGGTCTCCTCGATAAGGCATCTGCATTTCCATGGATTTTTCTGCTCGAAGTTCGATGTCGAAGACAAACTCTTGCAGCCTCTCTATCCATCTTGCAACTTGACCCTCCGGATTCTTAAACTGAAGAAGCCGTTTCAAAGCTACGTGATAGGTCCGGAGTAAGAATTTTCTGTCATGGAAGTATTTGTAGAGATGGGTAACGCAATAGTTACGCTATGGTTTGGACAGTGTTTTGCTAAAATAACCAATGACCTTTTCTTCTTTGCCTTCCTGGACTTAGGATAATACAGCACCTATGCCCACATCAGTGTCTATCACAAAGTTTCCTTCTGGCAGTGGATAGCTGGGTATAGGGGCGCTTGTTAAAGCTTCTTTCAAGTGGGTAAGAGCTTGTTGGCAATCCTGATCCCCTTGGAATTTGGGTTCCCCGCCTGTCAGCCTGGTCAATGATTTTGCGATGTTAGCAAATCCTTCCACGTAACGTCGGTAATATGTACATAATCTTAGGAAGCTGCGTAGCTCACGTTTGTCCTTCGGAACTGGCCATTCTTTTACAGTCTGGATTTTCTCCTTGTCAACCGCGACTCCCTGACTAGAAACAACATGGCCAAGATACTGCACAACTCACACGTGGCATTTTTTTGTTCTTAATTTCAAGCCAGAACCTCGTAGCCTTAAGAAAACTTCCTCTTGGTTGTTCATGTGGCCCCCAAGTGATTTTCCCACCACAATAATGTCATCAAGGTAACCAGACACGTTTTCCAGGATAGTCCTCTTAGAATCGTGCCCATCAGCCTTTCAAAGGTGGCAGGAGCATTGCACAAGCCGAATGGCATCAAATTAAACTGCCATAATCCGGTGCCCACCGTGAATGCTGTCTTCTCCCGATCTTCAGGGGCCAATTCTACTTGCCAGTTTCCCTTTTTAGTTCCAGGGTGGAAAACATTTTTGATCCAGCCAGGGTATCGAGAGTGTCATCAATACGCGGTAGAGGGTAGCTGTCCTTCTTGGTCACGTTGTTTAACATTCGGTAGTCCACACAAAATCTGGTTGAACCATCTTTCTTTTTAACCAAAACTACCGGTGAGGCCCATGGAGTGTTGGCCGGTTCAATGAGTCCCTCATTGGCCATACTGTCTTCGATTTTGTCTCCTGTCTTTTAGCAAGTGGGAGCTTTCTTGCTCTCTGCCGGATGGGACGGGCATTTTCCTTATTGACCTTGTGTTGGACTATATTGGTTCTTCCTTTCTGTCCAGTATAGAAACACCCCGATATCTATGTATTAGATGTTTCAGTTTCTTTCTTTGGTCTGGTCTTAGACCTCTGCCTGATGACGATATCAGTTCTTCTAGTTCCTTAGTAATGACCCCTGAGTTTTCCACATCTGGCATATTTTGAATGATTGCAGAAACTGGACGGCAGTCTCCCAGCTCCGAGCCCTTCTTCAATAACATAGGGTAATGACTGACATTCATTAGTCTCACAGGAATAGTTTTATCGGCACGCACAAGGGCCTTTGCAACTGCTATCCCTCGGCCAATATCCTCGTCATGCATCCTAGGTTCAAACGTGACTATATCTCCGTCTGTAGTCTGGCATCTAACGAGCCATTCAATACAACTTCGCTGCGTTCTGGGATCGCGGTGTCTTCAGGCAAGATTCCTTGCTTAAAGTCCATTCCGATGATTACCGCGTCCTCAATATCGGCTACTATTGCCGGATGTTCGAATATAGCTTTTCCTATTCCAAATGCGATATTTACTTCACCGTACACGTTTTTAAAATTCAGGATGAATCGATTAGAATAGAGGAGTTTCAAGTGCATATACGTTACTCAAGGGTAATACCGAGATTCTTGGCGTAATCCACAAAAGGGATGAGTGTCCAACACAAATCCTCTGCTGCATTTCACGGTCGGAGTTCTTCGAACAGTACCTACAACATTGCAGTAGTTTTATTAGGATTGATCTTCAAGCAGTGTTTGTTACAGTAATCACTGATGTTAGTCAAATCTAAATTAACTTTAAAAGAAACTTCATCAACCTTTGATGGATCGATCATTCGCAGATTGTCAGCTGACCCAACATAAGCTCCAACCTCACTTGATTTCTCCAACGGAAGTCCACGCTGTCGTTCGTCGATAGTCTTGACGTCTAAAGCGGCAAACTGGCCTGGCACTTCTTGAATTCTGTCCTCCAAAGTTTCCGTTTTTCAAACTCGCAAGATTTTTCCATAATATTATCTTTCAATTCTTTTTTAAATTGGTGTTGTTTTCCAAAAACTTCTCTTCTAATTTGACTGTACTTTCGTGTAGTTTTCCTTCTAGATTGGCACAATTTTCCACGAGTTTATTTTCTAATTTGGTCGATTTTACTAAAAGATCGGCACAATTTTCCACGAGCTTTCCTTCTAGGTTGGCACAATATTCCACGATCCTATTTTCTAACTTGGTTGAGTGTTCTAAAATATCGCCACAATTTTGCACGAGCTTAATTTGGTCGAAAGATTTTGCAGCATTAAACCAATATCCCCTGCACCGGTAAAAATTAAATTATCCGCATCCTCACCTTCCTCAATCAGTGCTTTACGAAGCCGCTCTTGCAATTCCGCTTTCTTTCCAGCAGTGTCGCACTCTCTTTCCTCCAGCTCTCTTTTTAAATCGACAATGTAGCATTTTTCTGGGTTCTTTTGGGTGTGAATTAAAACACTCGATTCCACAAAAAAATGCACTAATTTATTTATAACACAACACAACCAACTTTAACAAAACTAAATAGAACATTTATGTACGCCACTATTTATGTCTGACTACTTATTTACGAATTAAATTGGCGCGTTATTCACTCCGACGACTCTTCTCTCTCCCAGCCGTCGGCTTCTATATTCCGCATTGCAGGTACTCGTTAATTCCAGAAAGTTCCTGAACGCCACATAGCGGCCACTCCACAACCTTCGGGATCAGGGATCAGTCTCTCACCTCTCTTCGATGCCGAAGGAGAGTCCTTGGCGCGGTTCACAACAGATGGCGCTAGTAGTACCATTCATTCTTGTTACAATAATATAACATCTAGCAGCGACGGGCATATGTATGATAGAATATCAGTCTTCATGCGGAAAATTTCACATAGTTTTTACTGTGTCAATAAGTCATTTAACAAATTTAAGTTGAAGTACGGCTGTATCAATACGTTATCGCACCTCTAGACCTATCGCCCTTACAATCTGTTTTCTATATATTCACTGTTTAACGTATAATCACAAAAAAGATAGGAAAGAATATTAGATCGATATACAGATAACTAAAGATAAATCTCGCACTGCACTCACTGGGATAAAAGTGTATGCCTTACCGGAAAATCATGTTTTGATCATTAAATAGCAATCGTTAAACAACATGACAATTAAAATAGTTACAATCATAGTAAGCTTGTCATTTTTGCAGTTATCAACTACCTTTGATAATCAGGTAACATTATTTTACATATATCGATTATATATTGCGGCTGAATCCGTTTTTAATTTTAGATAACATCCACATTACCTCTATGAACAAATATGTACCTGACAATAATTATTCAATTATTCTGCTTCTTTTCAATTTTGAAACAATACTGATTATACGTTTTATAATTTTAGAAATATTCTGACGATGTCGGACTGTACGTCACCCTGAACGAACCACAAAATAGTACAATAAAGGGACACTATTTGACAAGTTTCCTGGGCAGGAAATATTATGCTTTCCAGGATATTCCATTTGCGATGCCTCCAATCGGCAAACGAAGGTTTAAGGTGAGTCGTTGCAGTTTCAGAAGACATAAAAATTGCTGAAAATTAGATTTTATACCTAGATCCCAGCTGCTAGGGCATACGAAATTTCATGCTCTTTTGTCAGCAACTTCATGATGATGTCACTTGGTAAACTCTCCTTGACTTCCTTATATCCACAGGGTGGGATATTTATCTCAAGACAATGGAACATCCTGGCGGGATCACTTGTTCGAAAAATGTTTCAGAGAAAAGTTGTCTGGTAAAAACGCGCTATCTGACAGTGATCATGGAAATGACCCTGCTCTCCAAGGCCATTCAAAATTTTAAATGGGATGCCTCTTTTGGCGCGTATGAGGGACCTAAAGGTCAAGGTCACCATAAGGTCAAACGAAAATATCAGATTATTTTGGAATTGTTTCAGACAAGGGTTTTAGGATGAAAATGACCTGTAAGGTTTATTTCAGAATAAATGACATGCCCATTCATGACAATGAAAACGATAAGAGCGAAACAATTTACGATCAGATATGATATCGTTAAATATTTTCAAGTACAAGCGTGTGATTAGATACAATAAATTCGATGAGCCGTGACAAGTTGAGAATCGTAAAAATTTGTGCAATTTTTGATAGACATATAAACACCTTTAATAAACATGCTTTTTGGATACTCATATACCACACAGTTAGAACGGGATCGTCGCCATCTAGGGGTCACGTGGTGACTGGGCCTCCATTCTCGGACTGAGATCTACGAGTATACAGTCCCAACCGGTAGGCTGCGTTTCACTGTTTCGCATTGTTCTATTCTAGTGGTAGAAGGCGCTTCGCGCTATCTTGTTTCGATAAACACCTCTATTCTAACGTTACGACCTTACCAAACCATTAGCCATTAGCATTGGTATCAACTAGTTCCTTAACGAAAGTCCTCTAAAGTTGCAAAAATGAATTGCAAAAAATAATTTCCCAAGAAAAAATCTGAAGTAAGAATATGAATTAACGGTTTGCAGATTGATCAGACCTGGTATAAACTAACTTAAATCTTCTTGGTAACAGGAAGCAGAACCCACACCGCCATGGAAAGGAGTCTATAATGCTACGCAAAGTAAAAAAATGTGCCCACAGAAAGTTTCATTCGTGGTTATAGGAAATGAAGATTGTCTATACTTGAACGTGTACACACCTGTGGTGAGTTAGAATTACATACGCCGACAAGTTTGCCGACCCTTTTCTCCAGAAACCATAACCTACTCCCCGAACGTAATTAATGTGTTGAATCCAAATCGATGATCGAAACCTCTCAGTTGGCTCTATTTTTTGAGATATCAGAACCTAAAAGTGGAAAAATAAGCTTTTTTGCCCATATTTGAAGCATGGTGGATTATTTTTTTTAATCCCATAGAAATCACCTCAAAGTGTCATACCTCAGCGAAAAAGATATTTAAGCAAACTCAATGATATTTGAAAGGACAAGGCTTGTACTTTGAAATGTCTATTTTTTGTATACCGAAGCAGCGGCTCAGGCACAAGCCTAATGCCAGGACACCGCGGCTGCTATGAGGATCCCAAAGAAACTTTATTAATCCGATTTTTTAACCGCCTAAGGTTAGTCGAACTGGGAAAAGCTTCCTCTTGTAGATTGTTCCACAATCTCGACACCCTCGGGACAAAGGAGGGGTCGTATCGGCTAGTCCTGGATGTACGAAGTTCGACACGGTTAGGATGGGAGGACGAAGTCAGGCGGGTCTGTCTGACAGGCACGTCGCACGGGTATTATGTAAAAAACCTATAAAACGCCAAAAAAGAAAACCTATAATATGTCATCTTGCAGACTACACCCTATTTCACGAGTATCCATCAACGGTAAAATTTCCCAAGTAGGCACAGGACACAATTCTAACGTCAGCTAGTCAGAGCCCTGTTTTGTTGTGTTTTTGGGAACTCCCACCTTGACTTTGTGGGATGAAGAGGAGAACCCGTCAATTACGATTCATTATTATTATTATTATATCTTACGGCCAGACAGGAAGTCAGCTCTAGGAGGCCATATTAAGGAAGTTTGCATAAGAGGGTAGCGTGCCACAGCTGCTCGAATGCTTTCGTGATATCAAAAGCATCGACATGAGCCTCACCACGAGACTGGATGAAATTACTCCACACAGCTGCGTGATTTAAGCTAGGAGGTCCCCTGTGGAGCACTGGTATCTACGAATGAACTCCGTACCAGAAGCTTTGATGATGTCGAGCGACAAGAGCACCCGTCTTATGGTCTTATGCCTGAATGTTACTTCCCGTGTAGGGAAACCTTTAAACCGACGGCACTTGGGCGTTAGGGGGACGTCCATGGTAGAGCTGGCAGCAAAGATCTTGGAAAGCACTTCCGCCTTAGTCTTTGAGTCGGTTACAATCGTTCCATCCTAACACGTGTGGTGGAAGGCTACTCTGTGAGAAGTCCTTTCAATCAGCATGACCAACGTCCAAAAAGACCGTCTGCCATTGCGCTGCGACATTACCCTGTGCCTAACTTTTATACCGTGCTGGTCTTTGGCACTGCGAACCGGTTCGTGACATTTGTTTCTGGACTCGACGTCGGCTTGTTTGTTCTCTACAGTGGGGTTTTGTAAAAAAGTTGTGTGTGCCTTGATCTTCTGTTGGCGAGTAGTGTCGCACAATTTGTAGAACCTGTCGTTAGACCCTAGTTTAGGCTCGTTCACTGTATGCGGGATCTATTCCTCCATCCCAACGTGGTTAATTTCAGTTATCGATGAACAAGCAGCCGATGCATCCGTGTCAGTGAAACAAACATCTCTCCAAGGGAGCGTGGAAAAGAAGTCTATGAGCCCCTCCCAGTCGGCATGTCCGTAATGCCAAAAATGTTGTGGCCTGGGCGAGTTTCTGCTGCCACGGCGGGTTCTGATCGAAACCTAACCTCCACAACACCGTGGTCTGAGTTACCCAGGGGAGACAGGTCAGCAGTGTTGAAGGGGCGGGATGCGTGGTCAGATGCAGCAGGCTACTGGTATGTCGTCACTAGCTGAGTCAGCTCTTGGGTAATAGCGAACGCTTCAACTGCTCGACTTGCTGAAACGGTCTTGTTTCAGCCCACCCAAAGCTCATTATGGGCATTGAGAGCGATAAAGGCAGCAAATTAATTTGGGGGATGCTTTGGAGTTGAGGCGAGGCCACAGAATGTCCTTCCAGTTTGATTCGAAAGAAACGTCTCTGGAGGAGGAAAGACTGCTGCGGGCAAAAGCCACTCCTATAATCTTTCTCAGATTAGAATGCACCTCGTAATTTGGGAAGGTAAGATGATTAATCAGTGCAGACTCTTTTTTGTTTTTCTCCGCCAAGAAAAGCATGGCGGAACCATTGGATTACATCAATGTTGCTGATAATCCCGCAGATGTTCGTGAAACAAATTTTATCATCAATGTTGTTCTCTTGAGTCCACCCTCCACCTGGACATTCCGAGAGTGGAGCGAGTTCACGTCCAGAATTCTTAGTACTTAGGGGTTCCATCATCATCAATTTGTGTGGAAACATGCGGCAAAAGGTAGCGGGTGGTGCCGCCTCGGTCGACTGGTCCTTGTCTACCACCTTCTTTTTGCGTGTTAATGATGTTAAATGGACCTAAAGTGGGCCGTTGGCGGACTTACATTGCCACCCGGAAACCGGTAGTGAGGTGTGTACAATCACTTGAACGGAAAGAAGTTGTATAATGAATACAACAACTTCCGGAACAAGCATTTGCCACTGCACTCAGTAAGGTGTGGTTTAAGATGTTTAAAAAAAAATCGCCATGCTAAATAACTTCATATATAAGCAAATATAGCTATTTTGGCACCTTTAGGTTGGTATAGCTCGGAAATTAAATCCAATTGGGAGACATCAAAATCTTTCGGAAAAGGATACTCTGGCTTCTGGTTAAAAATCTTGTCAGCACGTTTTATGCTCAACGCCCATAACTCAAGTTTTTCTAGTGTAGAAAATAAAAAAATTTCAAAAGATATACATTACTATGGTTTTTAAATCTACATAGAATCTATATTTCATATTTTTTAACATATTTTTGATGAATTAGAATTTTTTTAACAATAAGATTTCAGAATCCAAAAAACACTACGAAACGACTACCAGTTTTCTTTTGGATTCACGGAGGAGCCTTCGTGTATGGTGGAGGTGGATACCTAATGCAGAATCCCGCATATTTCATGGATGAAGACGTAGTGGTTGTCACGACGAATTATCGATTAGGAATTCTAGGTAAATCACTATAAAATAAACCTTTTTATCGAAACATTGGGGAATCAAACTCATGTACCTGAAATTGCATTATAATTCACACACTTTCGATGAAATAAAACTACTTGCTTTAGTGGAACTCGGAATAGGATCCGCTCAGGGAACTTTCAACCATGTCTCAACAAGAGTTCATTTTAGGATTAAGTTTTGATTTGGCAATATGCTTACAGGATTTTTATCGACCGAAGATTCTGTCATCCCAGCTAACTTGGGATTAAAAGACCAAAGATTAGCCCTAGGGTGGACATATGCTAACATCGACAGATTTGGCGGAGATCCTAAAAACATTGTTATCGGTGGCGAAAGTGCAGGAGCTGGGTCAGTTGGATATCACTTGCTTGAAATTCATGAAAAACGTAAGTAACATATACTTAAATTTTAACTAAAACCAACAGACATCAGAAAGACAGGCAGAAAATATACAGTATATGGTAGCAACATCCAAACGTTGTCACAAGTGACGCTGCCCATTGAGGTTCTAACATTTGAAGATAAACTGGCCATAACCAAATTCGATTACAAATCCTTTATTGTCTTTTTCACGAAAATCGATTACGGCTGAATAGCAGCTGATTTTATAGTAATATCTTAGAATTTATAAAAATGTCGATAAATGACATAATACTGGTGGATTTGTCAACGCCAGAGGTAGACAGAACCCCATTTTCCTTCAACACTATCGTTTTATTTTATCGGTTAGGAAACATGGAAATAAAAGTTGTACTTATTTTTTCAGCAATGTTCACAGGAGCTTTCCTGGGAAGCGGAACATCCATGAACACATGGACATATCAACAGAATCCCAAAGAAAGAGCTTTCACAGTTGGCAGAAAACTGGACAAACATTTCGACTCGACAGATTCAGCGTCGCTTTTAGCTATACTTCAGAATGTTACAGTCGCAAATTTGCTGCAGATCTGTACTGAGGAACAAAAATACTTCAACTGGATTGCTATTCAACCTGAGGACAAGAATGGATATAATCCTCCTACTGATTCGATAGAAAATGGAAACTTTATCAAAGTACCGGTTTTACTAGGATTCAATTCTGAAGAACTTTTGTGTCCATTAGGTTCACGATCAGGTATGTGATTTCTGTATAACCATGCCATGTCTGTATGGCATCAAGTAGGTCGACCCTACAATTCTCACGTTATCGGTTGATAGACGATTATGTTCCGCACAAGTTCGCTCCTCTTAAAAATGAGTTTATAAGAAAGGAATTAAGTGGATCGAGCCCGCCTATACTATTAGTCCCCAGTCCCCACCTATTTGACAACGTTGTTATTTAAAAATAAAGTGGCGATCACAGTTGTGATAAACAAACCTCACCAGCATCCAACTCACCGCAGGTCTAACATGTATTCAATTTCCGTTGTATTCTATACTGGTATTGGAAGTATGCTTCAACTTCGAACTGCGTTGTTCCGTAGACGTTTTGTTTTCAATACTATTAAATCGAACAATTTACTCCCAGATAAGTTTAGGTTGTTTGACATATATGACAATAAATTCAAATATAAATTAAAAAACGAGTACTAGACGGACAGTGAAGATGGGGCTTCCCCGTGACTTCGTACTACTATACATTTTCAATTATTGATTTTACTTTGCCAGAAATATTCGTCATATATTTCACATACACTGTAATGTATATCCATAGGTCAGGCCGACCGATAGACCGAAGGAAATGGACGAACAAAAAGCGTCCTAGCGCTGATCCGGTTTCGATGGAGATCTGCCAAAAAGCCGAACTTGGCACGAACACATCTCGTCAATAGAGAAGTACTTTTCTCCGCATGACCTCCTCACTCTATGCAAGGCTCGGATAAGACCTAGCCTCGAGTATTACTCACATGTTTGGGATGTTGCCGCCCCGACTACATTATTTATGCTCGATGCTGTCCAGAGGAGGGCTGTACGACTGATCGATGACTCTTCTGTAACAGACAGTCTCGGATCCCTTTAGTACCGGCAGGCCATTGCTCCTCAGAGCTCTCTTTCATCATGCCGCCGCGCTATGTACCTGCCAGACAGACCCATCTGACTTCGGCCTACCTCATCCTAACCGTGTCGAACGTCGTACATCCAGATCCGGCCGATACGACCACTCCTTTGTCCCGAGGGTGTCGAGATTGTGGACCAATCTACAAGAGCAGGCATTCCCCAGTTCTACTAACCTTAGGCAGTTCAAAAATCGGATTAACAAAATTTCTTTGGGATCCTCATAGCAGCGGGGGCCCTGGTATTTAGGCTTGACTGCGCGGATGCTTCGGCGTAAAAAAATGGTTTTTTCGTGATGTGCTTCTCATGTAACCTCCAAAAAACGTTTCTTTTTCGAAATGTTTCAGGATTATTATACTTACTTATTATATTATACTTATTATACTGCTCACCAATAAATTTAAATAGTAAATTGATATATGGAACATTAAGCATTAAGTTTTTAGCAGTGTCTATTGGTAATAAACATTGATTAACAATGCTATTGATTGCTCAACTAGCAAAGATTTTCTATATTATAAGTAAAATTATTTACAACGTTGGGAAAATCACGGCCTGAAGCAGTTACTTCGCCTTATTCTCAAGTAAATTAAGATACATCTCTTTTTGGTGTGTCTGGTGTCAAAATTGCTTGAAAAAGGTGATTATACCACAGACACGATTTATAATAAAAGCTATTCTAGAGCTACGTGCAGGCATTCATTTCTAAACCTTAAGGTTATGACTAGTATCGTTGTTAATTATAGCTTTCAAAAAATAAGGTTGAAACATTGAATTATTTATGATACCGGACAAAAACAAGATTTTAAATTAATAGTACGTTAATCAGTACTTTTGAGAGATTCAAAAATGTTTAATGGTCTGAAAATTCACATTTATCTTCATGATGCTACCAAAGGATTAACAATTTAAATATAATATATCATATACCTATAATATAAAAACAACTTATACCTTGTGTGAGTTCTACAATTTATTTACTTAAGATCCACATATGAATTTTTATTATATTGTAGTTTTAAGTTAGCGTTGTCAATAAAAATCATGTCCTCGAGGCAACAACGTATATCTATACCTATACTTATTTTTAGCACAGATATTTTGACATATCGTATTGGTACCGAGGAAGTTTAAGTACGTATTTTGTAACCAGAGCTTTATTTTTTCGGCACAGGTAACCATTATAAACGTGTTTATGAACAGGCCCTGGAAGCAGATCTAGATCCCAGCAAACTCGTAGGAGTTATTGATATTGGAAAGCAAAACGCTACTCAGATTGGTATAGAACTCAGGAAATTCTATACTAATGGGTCCTTTACTAACGACTTGCCTGCTTTCGTGAGGGTAAGAAAACAGTCCATTTCATCACATTTTTGAGAAAATCACATTACAGCTCCAATACTTTATCAATATTCTCTTAATACATGTTTTTTTAGTATCTTTCAGAATACAATTTCATAACTGCAATAACCAAACATGCAGATAGTGCTTCTCAGTTCGTGTTCACCTACTTGTATCAATTTTCATTTAAATCGTCTACAGCTAGAAAAAGTACTATACCAGGTAAGTGTCACCCCACTTATTATACAAAACTTTCTCAGATTCGAGGGTACATGCCAAAAGAAATGTCTCCTATACATTTAAAAGTACAAAACCTATTTATCCACACTAATGTGTTCATCACTATAAAGCTTCAACGTTGGGACCTCCTGTTCAGGGACAACAAAGTTATGTTTTCTTTTTAAATTGTAAGAAATTTCAGGTTTATAAAACAGATGATATAAATCAAAAGCATGAACAATCTTATACAAAGGGTCGGGCTTGTGCACTTTTTCGTAACTTAATATCCCTTAGCTTAAGGTTTTGATGTAAGTGTTACTAGGAAATCTTGCTTATTGTTGCCTGACATATACGCTCTGAAAAGGAAAGACTCAACTTCAAGGGCACCCTGTAAAATCGCAATTCCGGTTGATTCATTTTGTACAAATTGTGGCACTTTTTGTAGGCTCATGACGTACATTGAGCAAGGGCGTAGTCATTCTCCACCACGGCGCATGCCCACACATCGCTCGTCACACGATATTTGAATGGGAAATCATGACTCATACACCGTATAGTCCGGACTTATTACCTACGTTTTAAGGAACACTTGATAATGCGATTCAGTTTTAACGACGAGGTGAAAGATGAGATCCAATGCTACCTCAAATACCTTGCGGCATGCTGATATGACATGGGCATACAAAAAAGGCACAAAAATGAGATAACTGTCGAACGAAATTGCCTTGTAAAAAAATTGTTTAATGTTTAAACTATATAATGATCTAGTGATATAGCTTTCGACCGTCCCACCATGGACGGCCAACCATGGGCATCTTTCGTAGTGATATATTATTGTAATATATCACTATAACGATCTATCAATTACTGGTAATAAAAGGTTTTTGTACTTTTGAAAAATAGGAAGGAGACCGTACATTGTAACAATCTGCAATTAATGTTATTTGGTCTGTTTTTGGGTAGTTAGGTCGTCGAAAAAGATTTTTACTTAAATCAATCAATACTCAATTAACTTCTTTTCCACGTTGCAGAATTTATTGTGCCCGAAGTGGCTTTGACGTTACTTTATGTATTGTCCTGAAAACTTAAGCTGTGGAGAAATAAGACGTAAAAAGCATAATGACCCTCTATAATATTTTCAAAGTTTCTATTCATTTCCTCATTTTACAATTTGATAATATCTTTTAGGCATTGAAGGCACATGTCATGGTGAAGATTTACCATTTTATTGGACGGACTATCGAGTGAAAATTCCTGAGAATGAACGAATAATTGCTAAGAGATTCGTGAGAATAATATCTAACTTTATAAAACATAAGTAAGTTATAGAATCGAAGTGCATTTCACGACAAGATTTATTCAGTGACAATTTTTGTAAGTTCTAAATGTATTTTCTTCTTTTCAGAAGTCCGATGCCTCAACTAGATCCTCTTCTAGAAAATGCAACTTGGCCTGAAGTCCGACCAAACTATATACAATACATGAATTTCGGTGAACACTTCAAAGTAGAAAAGAATCCTAGAAGCTTTTCTATCAAAGCAGAGTTCTTAGATAAACATCTAGTCAAGCCCATTTATGTGTATTAAATATCGTCATTAAAATGATATGATCTTCAACAATATAGACTGTTTTATTTGTTGTGAGGTTGAATTTTTTATCTACTTCTCACGTAATGATTCTCTAATTCGAAATATGAAGTTGCGGTACTTATGCGGAATTTTGGTGGTGGACTAAGCATCTTAAGATTATTTATCATCTTTTAGAAACTCTATTAGATTAAAAACAGTAACATTTTACAAAAAATATCATGAAATAAGTTTTTAGTGGTGCTTTTTTACTTCTTACGAGCTAATCTCAAGCTACGTCTTAAAGTTGTTCCACTATCTAAATCAGTTTCAGGCGGTAACTCATTTTTGTCTATGTAAATCCATCTTCCAACTGTACCATCCCACTAAAAAAAAAAAATGTCTTACACAAACGGTAAATAGAGAGACAATAGAGGGTTTTTAGTGCAACAAAAATAGCGAATCATTAAGCCTTGCATTATGTTATTTTTGACAGCGATAACAAATAAGGATAGTTGGAAAAAAGTTTGTATGACCACTAAGTGAGCCCTGGCGATTTGACAGTACTGACAGTTAGGACAGGTTGCTTATCATTTTTTCTAACTTGAAGCTAACATATCAAAATCTTGTTAAATGTTTTCAGGGAAAAGCTAGAACCATAGAACGACAAATAACAGCAAAACCGGCAGAATTACAATAAAAGGCTACCTTGCCACATTGTATATACAGGTATAACAAAAATAGGGCAATTCAATTCATTTAGGATACTGCCTATTCTTGCGTTAATTAATCTGGGCTCTGAAACTCATATTCCTATTACATTTTAACCAATTCAGCGATGTTTTAAAAGATTATTGGTATAATTGCTGATTGCAATTAAGGTTGAACACACATACAAGAACTATTGTACTTAAGGTTTCTAAAGTCCTTGCTTTTGTGTTACATAATTGTAGGGATGTATCTATTGAAAATTGAACATGTCACTTGTGGTTTCTTTGTTGGAATATTGATCAATGATCTGGTCTCCCTATTATGTGAATATTTGTCTAGCCCTCGAAACAGTGAAGAATAAATTTATTAGGTTTATGTGTTTACAAGCATTATATAAGAACTGATGGCCATAATGCAGTGAATATATTGAACATTGAGAGTCTACGTCAAAGGCGCATCCAGAATGATTTGTATGTCGTTAAATTATTGAATGCCTATTGAGAGATTCTATGGATAATCGGCATTCCTTTGTCTAGCTTTAAAAGAATTATTTGAGAATTACTTTGATTTTTTATTTGTTGTTGGCTAAAAACACAAATTTTTCAGAAAAAGAATTTAAGAAAAGGTTCAGGGTATCATAAAACCAATTTGCCGATATATGACCTAGACAATAGCCCCAGAGGTCATTTGGAGGTCAACTTTGTAAATTCAAACAGCAACTACCATATTGACAGCAAATTCGTGTTGAACACGATATTTTACATCAGAATCGATTCTCATACATGAGGTCAAGCAGTCATAGTGGTTCAATCAGCATGGCCTACTGCAACGTCTGTAAAGTTCACGAACATCTCGAAAATTTGGTAACCGTGCATTTTTAGGAAAAAAGGTTCAGGTTTAGGATATCAAACAAGCAGTTTGTCGATTACTTCAGATATGACTTAGACAATAAGCTCAGAGGTCATTTGGAGATGAACTTTATAAACTCAACTAGCAACTAACATTTTTGAAAACAGATTCGTATCAAGCTCGAGATTCTGAATCAGATTTTATTTTCGTACTTGAGGTCAAGGGGTCATAAGTCAATGAGCATGACCTATTGTAACGTCTGAAAAGTACGCGAAAACCCTTAAAAACAGCAAAACAAGAGCACTAAAAACTCTCTAATAGAAAAAACACCCATAGTATCATATACAGGGCAACTAAAAAACAATGGAAACATTTTTAAAGCAAAATGTATACCCAAAAGTATGTCCCAAAAAAGACCCCATTACCAAAATACAATGTGAAATAAATTTCTGCGCTACTGAAAAGACTGAATAAGGTCTAAACATGAATATTGTTCAAGTGACGATATGGTGATATAGGATTACTCTCCCAATATACCACATATAATTTTCAATGTCAAACTTCAATAACTTCTACATATTTCCAAAGTAGTACGGGTTGAAGTTTTTTAAACGGATGTTACCTCTAATATTCAAACGAATGTTTCTCCAAAAGGAGTAGTCTGATAAAAATTTCCCAAGAAAAGCATGAATACCTCATTTAGGAATGCAATAATTGTTCAGTTCTGTTCTTCTTCAGAGGTCAAAATTTCCTAGCTACTACGCCACAGGTGTAGCCTCAGACACGAACATTTTTGTATGCATTGGAATGTTGCATGTACAAAATTTTAGTTAATATCTAATATCCAAATGTATATTTTTTATTCCATTTATTGAATCTATAGCTACTACAGCTAAGACTCATATTTATATTTTGTTATTTTTTTTATCTACTGTATGCCCTAGAAATATTCCTATTATTTTCTGAATCACCCTGTACAATGTAAATCCTATGTACACTATGTAAATTTTATTCAAATCCATGAAGGATTTTTGATTTTGGGTTTTTGAATAAAACTTACCGAGGAGCTAAGTATCTCGTTTCGTATTGGATGCCAATGTACGTCTCTCACACATTCCAAGTGCTTACTAACTCCTGCTTTGACCCTGCCAGTTAGCGCGTCATACACTGAAAGCAAGCAAACTTCATAATCGTCGAATAGAAACGATTCTTTGATCTTTCGAGAATCCATTTCATAGAGTACAGGGTGTCCTGCAAGTTGAAACTTTCCTTTTCAGAAACCACTACGTGTTAAAAAAAAAGCTGATGTGCGGTAAAACAGCAACAAAAATGTAAAAAATAAATTGTAAAAAATTACTCGCTAATCATTTGATCAGAAATTTCAAGTACTACCCTGCCACTTGTTTTGCTCGTAAATTCTGTGGAAGTTGTTGCCGTTCGATTCAAAAACAAGTTTATCTTCTGCATAAGTTGGCAACATTTGGAGCTGTCTAGGTCTTCTACCGTATCTACCTCGACTGCCTATGCAGGATGTAAACAAACCCCTACCCACTTCGGGACGGAAACATTGGAACGATCTGAATACACTTGCGAAATATCAGTAGAATCTTGAAGACACCGATTGTAACTAAGCTAGGTTAACCTAGGCACCTCGCGGCGCCTGATGATTTGGATAATAACGCAATCGTACTACAAACCATCGTACCTTGTGACGTAGGATGCAGGCTTGGCCTATTAGTAGTTTTTCGGAACATCTCGGTTATTTTAAGGCTTCTTACTAGGAAAACTTACTTATTGTTGCCTGATCTGTACTCTGTAAAAGAAAGTCCCAACTTTAAGGACTTCTGCTGTCTATCCCTTCTTTTTTCTCGTCAAAACATGAATCAAAACAATTATAAGTTATCTCTTAGCTTACCGAAAATTCTACCCATACCACAGCCTGTGTATATATAGCGTTGTCCTGTAGTTTGTACAGGTGAAAACCTACATCTAATCAAGGTTTTCCTCACAACGTGACCTCTGTAAGTCATGACAGAGGTGTCACCTTCTAACTTCTTTCGGCAGTTAGACACTGAAAATACGCTACATAATTATTGTTATCGATCAAGTTACTCACTGGGCGTGCAATGATAGTGCCACCTAGCGGATGTCAGACTGAATTATTTGTGCTTGTGAACAGTGACGGGCACACTGTAGACAATGTATACAATAACAAATAATAGTTCAACTAGGACGCCTCTAATAATGATTTTTGAATAATCAGAAAAGGTATACACGTATATTTATCATTTATACATGGTGGACCAACGAAAAGGTCGCACCCCCATTTGTGTCTTTCCTGGTATATTTTGGGAAAAACGCACGGACACGTCAATTTTGATTTCTAGGGGGATGTCCATTCATCTATAGGAGTTTTGCGAATTAATGTCCCAACGTTTAATCAACAATGTAAATATGTTATTTGTTATTTGTTTCTCGGATGAGTGTACGTTCTACAAAATCCTGAAAAAATAAATGTGTGGGCCGGCATTTTCAGAACTGATAATGTAGGTTTCTTTATTCCTGGAAACTTAACGGGCAAGACGTACTTGGACATATTAGAAAATACAATAGAGCCACGAATTACCGAAATAATAAATGGCTGAATGAAGACCAATAACTCAAGACATGCTTCAAAATGTGAGGAATAGATTCGAACAAAATCTTCATTATTGCATAGATGTAAATGGATAAACACCACTTTCAGCACTTATTGACCTACTTCTTTATGGAAAAGTAATTTTTCCTTTAATTTTAATTTAATTTAAAAAAGACTGTTGGTCTGGATATATCGTATTAAACAACCGGGCAGTAGCTATTGCAGTGCCCCCCATTTTGGCAATACAGGTTTGTTATTTCCACCCTTTCTTGAATTGAATAAGTAATTTTTATCACAACTAGGTAGGCAACTTAACAATTTGAAATGAAAAACAAAGTTTTCGTATGACATACGATGACACTGACTGATACTAAATATTCTTACTTGTATCCATATTTATAATTTTTTGCCGTACATTCCATTATTGTCAGTATTAACTCAAATTTTATTGTAAACTTCAATAGCTTCACAACGATTGAAGATAGGTATAGGAGAACAGGTAAGTACGCAAGTCCCACCTGAGGCGGCATCAGTCGGCAACGAGCCACTCTGTCGAACGCTTAAACCTCGATTGCAGCGCCACTGAAGATGGCTCCCGCAGTAGTACCCGAAAGATTTGGCCTCTTCTACCCGAAAGAAGCAACAGAGAGGTATAAACTTTGTTATATAAAAGTTACTAAAAACTTCATGGAAGATCTAATTTAAAAATGTTAACTGTAACGCAATATCTTATTTTTGGGTCACCCTGTATTGTCGGCTATAGATCAAAATAGACGTGTCCGAGCGTTTTTCCTAAAATATACCAGGAGAGTTACAAACGGAGGTGCGACCTTTTCGTTAGGCCACCTTGCATATACAAAATTATAGTTTTAAATAAATTAGAAACATTTCTTAAACAAAATAAACTACATTCTGGAAACAAAATCCACCGATTTGATTAATGTCATTCAGCGGTGTCATCATCGTCAATATTTTTGGCAAGGCCGTTATCAGTCAATCATAAAGAGTAATAGTCATGCACCAGCTTTTAGATCTATCAGATGAACAGATCGAAAACACTCTTTCTAAATGTGCTGGTGAAGTTGGAATTGGTGTCGATAGCCGCATAGCACAAGCGGAATGCAGCTATATTTGATAACTTTTTTGAAGATACCGTACTCAACGGAGTACTTTCTCTTCACTAATGTTTTGACGTTTGCGAGTAAACCTATTCTCACTTAAGGTATTCGATACATTATTATCATCATTATTTCATTGTATACGCATTATATGCATTGCCTACGTATTGTCTATATCGAAATGTAGATAATTAAAGTATACGCGTAAAAGCCCATCACTGTTTGTGGATATCAATGAAAATAAGTCGCTCAGTTGATTTGGGATAACGAACTATTTTATTTTCAGACTTACAATTCTTTTCTAATTTAACAGATGATAACAAAATGTTTGCACTATTGATAGATCTCAGTTGACCCCGCATGACACGTTGCACTCAGTTCGACGATGTTTCCCTTTTAGTCCAACGTGTACGCGGCGGTCGATTCACTATTCACTATGCACTTAGTTCGCTAAGAAAAGTCATAATTCTTAATAAGAGATTTTTAGTTGGTAGTTGTCATTTTTATAGCCAACTTTATTCCTGAACAACATTTTTTATATGCAATACATACTACGTAGAATGTCAAATGCGTTACCTTTGGTAGGTACTTCTTGCCACCTATAATCCCAATTATGTTGGTGCACAGCCTTAAGCGTACTTTCTGCAGCCTGAGCACCAGAAAATATCCTAACATCCCATAATTTTATACTTTGATCTTTGCTATTTGATATCAAGTGTCGTCCATCTCCTCTACTGTCTATAAACGTAACTCCATCTGTGTGACCTGAATCACAAGGAAAACTTCATTTGGAATGCAAACGTCCATAAAAAGACTGTCTCAAACCTCTTTGCCTCGGTTCTCACCAACAGCAACCCGACGGCATCTTGGCCTCAACCAATTTTGACTTACTTCAGTTACATTACTTTTAAGTTCTCACGACTGCTAAGCATCTGACAGCCTTGTTTTGAGGTTTTGGAGAAGCCGTTGCATATGTACTTACTAGTAGGAAAGCGGACTATTTTTATTCTTAAATCATTGACTGAAATAATATCGTATTTCATAAATAAAATCTCGCCAGATCAATCAACATATCGTCAGTAAATTTCTAACACAAATAAGTAAATGTGTTTTAGAAAATTGTCACAGACCAGTGTAAACCGTAACATACTTAACTTAATACCAGCATTAAGTTATTTTTCGTCGATTTTAACATTTCAATGGCATTCTATAGACACTTCTCGCACTTACATTCGCCCAATCAGCGTAAAGGAGATAGAGAATCAATAGTGGCGACCTTTTCAATACAACTGTTTTATATGTCGTTTTTTTATACTCCAACCACCACGAAGGCCTAAGGCCTAAACACCCATGGGGTACCGTGGGGCATAGGGGGATACAGGAGAAAGGGGGAACGCCACACGGACCCTGGCGAGGGAACACGTGCGCAACCAACATGCACACATTCTGGCCCCGCCTACGAGATCCGCCGGGTGGTACCTCTGCGTTCGACAGTCAGAGACCATCTACCACCTACGGACAATCACAATATCCATAGCCAAGAGAAAAATTTCTCTTGGGACGGGATTCAAATCCGCACACCGCACGGCTACTGATCAGGAGACCGAATAGTCTACTCTGAGGCCACCGGTTCTGCCTAAAATGTTAATGAGTATTTTATTCAATTTTATTACTCTCCTGTAAAGTACGCTTTTTTTACTCACGCAGTTATAACTTCACTGACGATATGTGATATTTTTTATTTATCAAAAACTCTCAATACATAACAATAGTTAGCCCAAGAGGCTAAATGGGTAGCTACACAAGCGTCATAGGGATCTATTGGGTTTTGAAGATTAGATCGCAGAAAGGAAAAAAGGTTTTATGTAAAATGTAAAAAAATAATTACATAGAAATAATCGAGCGCGTCAGATATTGATATTGTATATGCGATATGCCACACATGTCACTGATATTGGAGGTATGATAATCTGCCAGTATGTAACGGGTGGGCGATTAATAAAGAACGCAGGCTGTATCTCGGCAAACAGTCAACCTGGAGCTGTCGGTTAAAAAATTCTATACCAAAAGTTGCCAAGAGATGTTGCTAGATATTACTTCCAACTTCCTAAAGTGGCCGCAAGGGGGCGTAAGCGTAACTCTAAGCTCAAAATTAGAAATGCTGTTTTCCAAACTTTTTGCAAGTTTGTTACCCTTCCACTCCTTTACGTCACACTCAGATTGCCAGATTATTGAAACACATACTTTATTTCACTATTCTGATCGGCTGCACTGTGTAAAGGGATGTAAGATATCCCTCCTTATCTTAATCTGCCCCGCGCTCGAGTAAATCCTCTATAATCTCTGCAATGAAGGGTCTGCGAAAATTGACAAATTGTATTCAAATATATTTATTATGTCTGATGGTTACTTCCACACTATTAACTTACTTGACATACATACTTGTGGTATCAACTGTAGCCAGGACCAGCTTCACAGTTTTGTGAGAGAGCTAAAGGATAAAATTTACGTGCTCCAACTGAATCACTTCAATGAACATGAAAATGCGGTGGAGAAGTAGTTTTATGGGATTATAAATATTTTTTTGTTTGAGGGTACGATCGGAACGGTAGCCAAAGTGTCACAAAGATATCCTCAGATGACAGATGATGCAGGTCCAAACCGAGTAGCGACGGTTGTGCCACCAACTATCAAGCAACTGGTCTGGTTGTCGTCGTTTTGGTGAGAACATTTGTATTTGAATACATGAGCCGTGTAATGTTGCAGTCGCCAGTTGCTTTCGGTGAGAACGGTCCCTTACACATCGACATATGTAATATGTGCCAGGAGAGATTTTCCGGGATTATACTAAACTAAGATAAGTTTCAATCTTGGATAAACCAGTTAAAAACTGCTCGGCTGCTTCATTTAAAAAAAGCATTGACTGAGGATCAATCTAACGGAACTGCGGCTTTTCTGCAACTCACCAATTGTACCGTTTTATTTCCCGCAAAGTATTGATTAAGGTATTCTACCTGAAGATAACCAACATTGTATTTCATATTTTCGTTCATGACTGCCTAAATAAAGAGTTTTCCAATGCGAATGCATTGATGATGGAATGTGACAAAATAAGTGGAATTTACGAAATGCGGTGTTGACAAGCGAATCAATGATTCAATGTTGCCGAATTTGTGGCGACCCTGGCCTTTCATTTCGACCTAAAATGGAGCGCCATTAGTACCGAGCGGCAGAGGTATTATGCAAAAAATACGAAAAAATATCATCTTGCAGACTAGGTAATTTTTAGTGTGCAAATATTTCATTCCACGTGTGCTCGCTATGATCGCTGTTCGCTGTCGTTTAAGCAACACATGCAGCTACAAAACGAGTTCACAACAAGTGTACAACAGCTTGTGCAAAGTTAACATCTTGTAACTAACGCATATTTGCGTGCATCATAATTCAATGAACTGGTGTAACATATTGACAACGCAGCAGATCGCAGCGACCTTTCGGCAGGGTTATTACATAAAAAACCTATGCAATGTCAAAAAAAATCGACAAAATGCCAACTTGTTACCTAGATAGCTCCTACTATGCAGATAGTTCATTCCACGTTTGCTCGCTATCAGCGCTGTGAGCAAGCAGCAAGTCAGTTTCCCAACATGCTTTGTTGGTTGCAGAATGCTGAAATAGTGATATGACAGAAAATTTAAAATTGGTTGAGTAGCAGGATCGCATCTGAGTGATTGTGTGTATTGGTCTGCATGTGTATAAGATCAGTGATATTTGCTATGTGAGAAAATTATTACTGAGTATGCTGCCCGTGAATTATATCCATTAGCTGTAGCGGGTTATTTGTGCTGTCCTTTTTGAAGAGAGATTATGTTCAAAGCTTCAAATGCAATTTTCCCCGGTTTTTATAGGTCTTCAACAACTTTGAGAAGCATTATGAGAAATTACTACCGTGCTCGCGTTGTGCACACATCTCAAACATGTGTATTTGAGACACAGAATATTAGCGCACAAATCCTCACTATACACCTATGCAGTGCCGTTTCCTTCCAGTTATGGTATACACTTACAGCTTACACCTCTAATAATGCCATCTCTGAAGGAGATATGACGTCACATATCAGAGACAAACATAACTGAAGCGTCATGATGTTTAGGTAACACATACAGCTACAAAACGAGTGCTCATCAAGTGAACAACAGCTAGTTCTAAGATGACATCTGTTAGAAAAACCTTCATAATGTCCCAAAAACCCTATATAATGTAAAAAACCACATAATGTCACTTTTCAATATACGTAATACTCCTGCCGGTCCACGTTGCTAGACAACGTGGTGATAAGCTTCGATGGCCAGCCGACTTCTATGGTCTAATTCTAATACCCCATAACTGTATGGATCGGTATTCTTCAGGAAAGGGTTTTTTATTTTGTAAGGTGCTAAATATGATGAACAGGTAACATTTAACACTAAACAAAACCGTTATTAACTTAGTAGACTAAAAATAAACGTACAACTGAATGGCGCGAAAAAATAAAATTGTGAGGCGAAAAAGTAACATTTGAATTTTTGGCAAATACACCCCACCCCGTATTAGAATTAGACCACCGATATGTGTTTTTACACACTACTTGCGCTTCTCTCTCGTACACATTGAACTTAAACTGTCAGTCAAATTCGAATCTTACTGTATATACTCTGAAAAGATCAATGTCTGATAGATGGCACTTTATCCAGCAATACGCTCATAAAGGCGTATGCACCTTTACAAAGTACAGAGCGGGCCAAAAATGTTTGCACTTTGGGAATCTTTTTTACCAAAAAACTGTATTTTATACTTAATGAAAAGAATAAAAATATAGTGTATTGGAAATAATATCGTACAGATGGCCGTCATCTCGTCGCTGGCACTCCTTAAACCTGGCCCTTAGATTTTCAAAAACTTTTCGACACAAAGTGACGGATATGTTGCCCTTTTTTTGGTGAAGATTTTATTTTAGATAGAGTTTTGTTGCTGGTTTATTCACGTGGACATGACTTTTAAGATAACCCCATAACATGAAATCAACTGGAATAAAGTCGGGCTGCGGAGACGGCATGGAATGTCTCCTCTGCGCGAAATTAGTAATGGATATTTATTCAACAACTAATATACTCGCGCTGGATGTATGGCAGGCCGCGGCTTCCTATTGCATCCAAATCTTATTGTTGTAACCAACAAACTGCCGCAACTGTGGTTGAAAAAAAACTCGTAGCAATTTCATGTTTTCTTCGGAATTTACAGTCACGAGATTATTCCGTGTATCTTCGAAAAGTACAGGCTGATAATACCATTTGAAGATAGCATCGCCCAGTCTCATTTGGAGAATGAGGGTTTTCCTACTCCGACTCTGATATTTCATTTATTTACATGTTCATTTGGGTGGAAGTGAGCTTCATCCGAGAAGAAAATGTTACTGTAGTTGATGAACCGCTCGACCATTGCATCGATGGATGATTTTCTTAAAATTAAATCATTTTGTTTTAACTCCTGCTCTAAATGTATTTTGGGTGGATGTAGTTTCAAGTCTAATTTCAATATTCGACGTAAAGACGCCAAAGTATCTGAACGCTTGCGCGTCGACAAGGTTGAATTAATCGTTTCTCGCACAGGCACGCTTACTTGCGCCACGTTCTCTTCGCATTGTTTTTGACTGAGAGTCTGGCGGGTTGCTTCTAAGTTTTTAACAGATCATTTGATTAAACTAATACTTGGGTACTGTGTATGCAATTCGTAATGCGTTCGAAATATTCAGTGAGCAGTTACATGAGAATAAATATTTTTATAAGTGTTTGACTTATTTCCAAGAAGTGAGGAACCGATCGTGAGTAGTCCTGCTTCCCCCTCCCTCTCCCAATTGTCTCCAATACAATTAAGAGCAAGCATTTATGGCCCACCCGGTATATACAATAAAAAGCAAAACAGCTGTGGCAAATTCTCATAGATGACGCATTTTACCTCGGATAATTTTTTGGACGCGGGAATTAGCATTAGGTTGGCTATCTTCAGGTAGAAAACCTTAATCAATGGGCAAAGTAAGTAGTCTTGACGAAATAAAATAATAACTTACCTGCAAGTACACCTACTGGTTTAGGTGAACTTTCTACTAGACTTCTTCTATCCCATACTTTGACTAGCCCATCGTCTCCACCACTGTAAATTATATGAGACGAATCATCCGCAAAACAAACACTATTTACATCGTATGCATGAGCTGCTATCTACAAAAATAAATATATCATAATTATTTAAATCTCGTCATCTGCATTAAAGACGTTTAAAATAAATATGTTTTTCATTATGACATTTTATTTACCTTCGGACACCTACTTGGTTTCTGCCTCGTGTAATATATTAATTCAAAAACATATATTTATAAGTAAAAAAAAATAATGTTTCAAAAATGGCCCTTTACAAAAACTACTCAAATTATTTTAGGATTTCATCATTAATGCAATTACTCACTTTTAAAGTTCTTCTCCTTTCATTTAGATCATATATGTACAAACAACCATCACTTGCACCCCCTAATATTTCCTTTCCATCTGAAGAAAATGTTGCGGCAAAAACGCAAAAACGACGGTCATTTTTTATAAGGCTCAATGGTTCCTGAATCGCATTTTTATCATTCACTGAACACAGATGCACTAAAAGGAAACTTCATGTTAATATCATATAAATGTACAATATAAAGTGAATTCTTTTTACTGAAACAGTTGTATATAATGCGGTCAATAAACGGTATGCTATGGTAATTGTAACCTTAAGTGCTAGTAGGTCTCCATGATTGCCTGGCGGCTTAATGAAGCCACTTATGTTTGATTACGTTTTACTGACGTTTCGGCCACCATGTTGGCCTTACTCAATGCATAAATTTTGACAATGATAATATAGCCATGTTCTAGCAACGGTTTCCAAACGGTGTTGACCAAACGAATTGTCAAAAAAGTGGCACTCAAATCGATGCGTTAGTCTCTAGTTTCCAACCTCCAGAACCGTCAGAAGTTCGTTGCCAGAATATGCCTATTATTTTATGTTTATCGGTCTTTCCTTCACTGCTATACAGTGTGTTGCGACAACACCCTGAACGGTCCTGTACCACACCGAGATCGCGCGAAACCATCATTGCGGTTTTAAGACGGCGACGGTGTTACAATAACCTTAGGAAGACATACTCACGTGAGACAAAGTTTTTACATGGAACATATCATATTCTATAGTACTTTTTACGGGTTTTGGCGGTGACGGTGACATCAATGTCATACAAAATAAGTAAGCAAATCCACTAACTGAAACATGTGAGGAGCTGAAGTTCCAAAGGAAAATTGTACACTGGGTAAACCGATCTTAAATGCAGCTTCTCTTGCACATACGAATTAGTTATTAAAGGACAATTGCTTTCATTCAGTTTCTAAACATACCTAGAAATAATCTTGGCACTGTTGTATTTTCAGATAATGCTGCGTTTCTTATTCCGATGATCAATAAAAGGTAAACTCAAAATGGTACGCTCATGTCAAGTGGGTTGTCACACTGGCACTGTCAAGCATAGACTAAGCATACTCATACGTTGGCGAGTAAAGTAAGTCAAACAAACGTCCGCCAACAGAGGTAGACTGCATATATGTATGTGTAAGGGGAATGGATATGATTGTAAAAGTGCTGTTGGTAGTTTTAGTGTAACCCGCCAGAAACCGTGAAGTACTATAAATTATGTATCAAACAGACGATAAAAATATTGGAACTATTGTTGGGACAGAATATTTTAGTAATAGTTCTGCTATCTCAGTATCCGACGCAGGATATAATACAAAATAATTTTAGTTAGCCAAATGTACTGATATTACATAGGTATATACGTACATTGTTTAAAAATATACTTACAGGCTGACGACCAAGTTGTATATACAAACTGTTCATTGTTAGGACTAAAAGATATATCTATAATGCTCCATCCTACATCTCGAGCTGTTATTTTATGTAATGAAACATATGGTACTGTACTGGAGTCATATACCCGTATAGTTTGGTCTAAAAGATATTCAGAAATACATTTCATGCAGATTCTCAAAGATGGAATAGTAGAAGTTGAGTCAAACTCCAAAATAATGTTTCAATGCAGCATCATATATCTGATGTACACAATCTTTTATGAAATGGACATGTTTGCTTCCCGTCCAATGTGACAAATCGCAGTCAGCGCTATTTCGTGCTCATTAGCAACTGATCGGTGCTTAGATCTAGTATTGGAGACAGACAAAACGGAAAGCAAGCAAGTGTGCATGGTCTTCTGAAAAACTTTTACGCAAATGAAAATGTGACAATCGTCACCTACCAATGGTTCGCCAAGCTGATTTTCAACTTCATCCCGTACGATGAAGATGACAGAGAGACCCTTACGTTATCTAGCCGCTAACCGTGCGACGTTCTAAGCTAAGCACAGAGATGTCGCACCGCTCCATCACGGTTAATTAATTATTGCGACCACTTGGCAGAAGGTTTTAATGTAACTGACGTTATACCTTGTGATGCAGTTATAAGTCTATTTCCATCCTTGGAAAATATACCACAGAAATATTTACTTCGGCAGCCATCGACAATTGACATTTCGTTTGGAATATAACGATTGTTGATGTTACATTTTTTAGCATGAGAGAGGTTGTTATTGAAGTATATCCCTTTCTGCAAATAAAAATTAGTTAAATATAAAATTTTAGGACGCACATTTTTGTTTCCGGTTACCTCTCTATTAGACAACAGATCTATTATGTTTTGCCTGCCACTATCCCTTTTTGACTCCAAAATTCCTGAGCACTGTTTGGTCATCAATGCAAATTCACTAGCCTGTAGAGTTGCATGAAATTTGTTAGTGAATAACTAAAATCCTCAAACAAACTGTATCAGTGATTCAGAAACATTGAAATATTCAGATGTTCAAGATTCCTAACATTTAAATGGATGCAAGAGATCAAGGAAAGCCCATTGTTACCTCAAATTCGATCCGACAATCTTTGACGGTTTTTGATGGTCCCATTCTTCCGGAAATACGTGGATATAAAATGTTTCAGTTACTTACTTTACTTAATGTAAAGGTTTCCCGTTATACAACTGCATGAAAATGAATAAGCTACCATCCAATATTATGTCAATTCAAGCAATCCAGTGTTAAAAAACAGAGTGTAGGGTATTTAGAATCTAAAGCTTACTACACCTGTGCAGAATTTATGGAATAACACGCAAATGCCATCTAATTTTTTCGTCTATTACGTCTTTTTTAATTTTTGTTTATTGATTCAATATGAGTTTAATTTATTATTTATCTCTTGTGCTAGATACATTTGTTGATGTTTGTTTATTGAGTGTGTGAGTGTATTTACATTTTATAACATCAAATACTAGCATCAATGTCACTGACGGAGTAAGAAAAAAGATTTCTAATCAATTGAGCATGGTTGCTATTTACTATTTTTTATTTGTCTTTAGCTCCTGATGATGGCAGCATAGTCTGACGAAAGCTTGAGTATTTGTAAGTCAAAAGGATACACGTATTTTCAATTTTGTCTGTATATCTGTTATTATATATTACCACTATAACCAGCTATTTGTTTTACTATGTATTTGGGTTTGTAATTTGTCGTGCTTATAATATACTACTATCCTATAAAACAGGCTGAATAGGATCTGTTTGCTTTTGCCTTCTTGGCGACCATACAGAACGTTGTTTCATTCTTTTTAGCAATTATTAGTATGGTATAGCTGTAGGTATTCGAAGACATATGACGAAAAGCAGGCAAGCGAATATGGGCCTATTGAGAAACTATATTGTGATGTGTGAAAAATACATTCGATACTGCCTCATACGAGTAGATTCGGCTATCGCGGTACTACCGATATCTGCGTGCGGTAGCAGAGAAGCACAGTGTCCTACCATCTTTGAACGACAGTGTCCGCTTCTAAGAAGCCGAAGAACAAAGTCTACCACTCAGGCGCCCCACCTAGTATCTACTACTCCCATGAGTGACGTTGACGATCATATTCAAATTCATCGCACCAAAATACAAGGAATCAGTAAAAACAAAAGATGAAAATGGTAATTACGGCATATGCCAATGGCAGTATTATAAAAAAATTTTATTATCTCTGAGATGTGGACAAAAAAAACTCTTAGGCTAATTGGACACACAGTTTCCATTTTATAGCACAAATTCGGTCACATGATGCGAAAGGATTCTTGACAGCCGTATTCAAATTTAGCTACTCAAAATACATAGGTTTAAAAAGTTGCTTCTAAAAACAGTGAATGGAAATGGAAATTGAGCACTACCCGGGGGGTGGCCCAAAGCATGAGTTTAAGTGAGAAAAAGTGAAATTTTCAAAAAAAGTAGTGAGAAAATAGTGAAACATATTAATTTTCGGAGAAATTGAATGACACATAATGTCAAATTTAAACGGATAATAATAAATAAGAATTTGTAAAAAAAACGAGAATAGCTCATATAAGGACTGTGTAACTATTTTATTGACGTAAGCAAACATAATTATTCATATGTATGCATATTTCAAGATCAAATGCATACGATGCATAAACGAAATATAAAAAAATAACAAATTCTTGTAAATGCGGGAGACGTACTTGTATGTATCTATTAAGTATTCTTGCTCAATTGATTCAACCTACACTTTAGCGAACTAATGTTAAAAAGTTGAAATTTGATATAGTTATTACAGATGAGTATTTTTGCACAATGGTTGAATAACTTAATCATCAGACCCTAAGACTGAGTACTTATCATTAGGAATCAAGTGTGGTTCTATTCGATGGGTTCCCAAGACCACTTCCTGGCTTCATCATCAGATTAACTCCATGTCATAATAAAATTGCATTGTCCGCCATATTGGATTAGAATGACGTCACTTTGCTTATTGTGTTTCGTTCATCAATCCCTTTCATTTGATATCCATTATATGGGGTTGTCTAGGGGAATTATAAATCGATATTTTGCGGCAGCCGCCATATCAGATATAACACAGTCGATAACCATATGATAGAGGTAACTATTGAAACTATACAGACATCTTGCGATGGTCGACATATTTGATTTGAAATGACATTTCTGATTATTGTGTTTCTCTCAAACCCTTTCATCTGATGCCCATATTATAGGGGTGACTATGGAAATTATATATTGCCAAATTGCGACCTTCATTATATTGGATTTTGGATGACGTCAGTTTGTTTATTGTGATTCTCTCATCTCTCTTTCATTTAATACCCATATCATATGCTATGGAAATGATAAAACGCCATTATGTAGCATAGGCAATATTAGATTCAAAATTGATGCAGTTAATTCATTATATGAGTATATTGTTACACGAACCAGACAGGCATACAAAATTTCAGCTTGATTGGTTATGATTAATTGGTTCAAAATTTAGTTTCAGCATTTGTCCCACACATGCATACTAACGAAAAACAAGTGCAACTGCTAATCCAATTTATACTAAGTGACATATAAATCTGAACACCCAGTTTAAATGGTTTTATTTTAATAAAATTTTGTATAAGTACTTAATGAAGCATAATAAGTAAATGATAAAAATTTCAAAATGATTGCACTGCTTTAAAGCCCTTTGACCTTTAATAATGTGTGGATGCACCCTGATGTGCTACGCATTCTCCAACGCGCCTAGGCATGCTTCTGATCAGGTGGTCAATGTCCTCCTGTGGTATCTCATTCCAGGCAACCACCAACTCCTCTCGAAGTGCTTCTAGAGTCTGAGGAGGACGTTGCAAATTGAGCAATCTCCTACCCATCATATCCCACACGTGCTCAATTGGGGATAAGTCGGGAGATCTTGGTGGCCATGGTAACAATGTGACATCATTATGTTGAAAGAAGTCTATTGTGACTCTTGCAACATGTGGTCGGGCATTATCTTGTTAGAAAGTTGGATCTGCCAGGGTGTCAAGGTAGGGTAAAAGATGGGGTTCTAGAACCTCGTGGATATCACGCTGCGCGTTCATGTTACCTCTGATGAAGATTAAAGGTGACCTGGAACCATAAGCTATAGCACCCCAAACCATAACTCCAACAGTGTGATGAACATGTCTTTCAACAAAAAACTGTGGATTCCTCCTTTCACCACGTCGCCTTCTAACCCTGGCACGACCATCGTGCATGCCTAAACAAAATCGAGACTCGTCACTAAAGACAATACTGTTCCATTCCTGATACCAGAGTGACCGTTGTCTGCACCACTCAAGGCGATTACGTCGGTGTTCTCGAGTTAAAGGGAGGACCCAGTGTGGCCGGTATGAAAACAAGCCAAAACTTTTCATTCGTCGGTAAACACTTCGCATGCCAATAGGTCTTCCGTGTTCTGCAAACCATTCATTTGCAATGGACCTGGTAGTGGAGAAACGGTCCCTTAAGGCCAATAATCGTAGGCGGCGATCTTCACGGTCTGTTGTTCTACGGCGGCGTCCAGTGCCCCTTGCTCTTTGCGTACGGCCTTCTCAAAGCCATGCCTGACAACACCTAACCACAGTGTCTACACTTCTTTGCACTCTAACTGCAATTGCCCGAAAAGAAAGTCCAGCTTCCCGAAGTCCCACTATACGGCCCCTATCAAACTCACTAAGTTGACGAAATCGTACAGGTCTCCGTACTCTAGGCATCGTAACCCATCGTAAAGGATGTCAAGAACCAAAATCCGCCAACGTTGATTCTTTACTGCGGCTGAAATATTCATTTTTAGAGCGTTAGTGAATTAAAAAAAAAGCAGTATAAAAACCGGAATGTCCAACTGATAAGGCTGAACATTTTTTCACTTGTTATTTACAGTAAGATAAATACATTCACCAACTTTTAAAATAAAACCATTTAAACTGGGTGTTCGGATTTATATGTCACTTAGTATATATTGAAATCCCAGCTCAAATTACGCCAGGCGAAAATGAAAACGGTTCAGGGTAAATTCGTATTTTCTGTCTCTCCAAAAATAGTCTGAAATGCCAAACTATTTGAATAACATTTTATTAGTTACCTAACTGCGCAACTTTCAAAAAGGATTTTATGTTATATTGCTTACCGTTTCCGAATTTGAAATCCCTAGTGCACATATATAAAGTCCTTTCAGCAAAGCTGAATTAAAATTCTACGTACATATCAACTAATCCTAGTAATTTATCATGCAATTCATATTGGCTCAGCTTGGGAAGAACCCTGTACATGAACAACTTTGTCATAGTGAATTTTTATAAAAAAAATTAACTTCATTTAATTTTGTGGGGCTTGAGAGGACAGCTCTTTCTAAAACGTTCATAAACTACAATATGTACAGCAAGAGCGAAAATAGTGAGAAAAGCAAAGTTTGCAATGAAAACTGAGTAAAAGTGAGATGGATCGAAAAAAGTGAGAAAAAGTGAGTCGACAGCATCCCTGCACTACAAAATCGTATATTTTCAGATTCCCAAATATGCTTTCATAACTTGGATGTGAACAAAAACTTATGTCTCAAGTAAATTGGATGTATAGGCTTTTATTGGGTTTGATATGGAACTGTACAGGAACTGCTAAATTAGGCTTTTCATTCTTCTGCTAAGGTCAACTTTAAGCTAAGTTTCATGTTATTGTTGCACCAGATACATTTAAAACTTGAGTGGAACTCAAGCAGACAGTTGAGCTATGTCGACGAGTTTCTCTGCTCAAGGTGGATTTTCTAATTTTAAAATGTCAGGTTACCAGCTTAACATTTTTATGATTTCACCTACTGAGCACGGTCTGCCAGGTTTCCAGTAAACTAAGAAACTGTGGACATGGAAAATTTAAGTTATTTGCTAGGTTCTAAAAAGCTCGCGTGATGGTAATATTTTGTAGCTAATCATCAGAAACAACGACCAAGTTTCGCCATGAAGCATGGTGCATTTGACTGAAATGTTGGAATGCCTTTTAGGCAAGTGTTGCAACTGCGTTGGCTAAAAACCTAAGTTGGCCTGATATGCGTTACGGGGCAAACTTGACTCGTACTGAGTTGGCCCGACATGCGTTACGGCTGAAATATACCTAGTCAACAATAATTTTTTTTTTTGGTAAAATAAAAGCTTTTTTAAAGAAATAACCACACAGTAATAATTATAAAAGTTCCTTTAATCTAAAACAGAGCCAGGAAAAACTAAAGTTAAATAATAGTATTTTTACGATAGAAAAAAGTAAAATATGTGTTTTTGCAATAATATTAAACACTTTCTTTAATATTAAACTAAAACAGTCAAATCCTAAGCTAAAATATAAAATATAGAAACAGTCACATTCTAAGCTAAAATATGGTGTCATTTATATAAAAGAAAAGTAAAATATTGATTTTGCAATACAAAACGACTAATGGGCTTCATTAAAACAAACTAAGCAGTAGGCCGGTTTCCACGGGCACTCCTCGTAGTGAGTGTAGACTTTTTTACCTTTTTGTCAGCTTCGCGACTATTCATTGTTCTTCTTAGTAATTTGTAGCATCCTACACATTTTCTCCTCTTTTTCGGTTTCCCCTACAGTAAAGGTATCGTATCTTTTAGGAATTCTTGGCCGTTCTGGTTGCAATTCTTCTCCGTCATACTGATAGAAATATTTCGCTAGTTTTTCTCTAAATTGGAGAATTGTGAGCTTGCTAGTTGGATGTTGATGATTAAAGATAACCCAAGCATTGACGATTGCTGAATTAAAAATTAATTCAACTGCAATTTTTTTGTACCATTTAAAATTCTTTCAGAGGGGGCTCTGGTAAGATGCCATCTGGTCACTGTAATCGACACCTTTTTCGCGTTATTGTAATCGATTACACACTGTGGTTTTTTACAGTCTGTCCTTTTATTTTTCCTGTATTAACTAATGATGTATCGTGATTTTCACAGGTTGAGAGCATCAGAACCGGTCTTTTATCTACCCACTTCATAATTTGTATGCCCTCTGACTCTTTTCCAGCTATTTGATCTCTTTTAAGCTTTTGAGAAATAATATTTTTAGGAACAGTTTTGCGATTCTTTCTCAAGGTACTACAAATTCTTGTTTTTTTGGTCTTCAAATATTTTGCCAATTCATAAGAAGTATAAAAATTATCGCAATATAAAATGCGGCCGTATTCATAGTAGTCACTAAGTACTGAATCCACTATAAACTCTGCGTGGTTGACGGAAATTAATCACCTAACCATCAATAATAAGTTTGTAAAGTTTCACACCATATTTGTGGGATTTATTTTTTATATATTGTTTCATTCTTAGGCCCCCTCCATGGTATCATAGACTCATTTATAACTACTTTTTTTGGAACAATCACAATGTCTTTGTCAAGCTGTCAATCAAATGGCGAATTTTGAACAGTCTGTCTTCGCCAGTATCATCTATGTTATTCATGAAATGCCAGCACCTTAAAATAATTAAAAATCGGTCCCTTGTCATACAAGATGATATAAATTTATTATGATATAAGGAATCTTTGGACCAATACAAATTCATTATTGGACCGTTCACAATTTCCATGGCTATTACTATGGCAAAAAAGCTTTGCAATTCATTATGATCTACTGGTTTCCATAAATTTAGTCTTGATTTAGGTTTGTTTTCTTGTGACACCAAATTTTCAGCATATCTATAAACCATTTTCTCAATCAACTCGTCATTACCAAACAACTTCAAAAAATCGATAGGGGAGGAAAGGTCAGGTGGTACATTAAAACTGATTTCATTATCACATAAAGTAGGAAACAATTCGCTAGAGGGGACTGTTATATCGACCCAAGTTATATCAGATGGGCCAGGAGCATTTTGTGAAGCATTATTTTGGCTTAACGGGAACACATCTTGGGAGACTTCTAACTCATTTTCATCACTGGATGAACTATCACCGGATGACTTGGTATGTAATCTTTGTCCATCAGCGAGTCATCTGAATCTTCGTAAAACGAACACTCGGACTCCGACTCACTTTGCCTTGACATAGCTTGTGCAAGATCAACAAGTTTTTTTCCACGAGACATTTTTGCGATTAGTAGCACCCTCGACGGCGTATGCTTGCCAACTGAATAAATTTACTGTAAGGTATTGTGCTCTAATTCGAGAAAAACCTGCCTAGACTTGTCGAAAATAATGATTAGATGCGGGTCGGGGTAAAATTGACCCGTAAACGTGTGACCCCGTACCGCAGGCAAGTAAAAATTAATAGGTTGTATGCAGTTCGGGGCCTATTTGGGTCGTACTGTTTTTTTTGTCGAAGAAAAATAGTACTTAAATTGCAATTCTATAGCTATAAAAATCTTTTTTTTATCTTTAAAAATAAAAATTTCACAAGCTTCGCAATATGGAATACCTTAGGCAAAATGCCCGCCGCACCAGGTGATAGTGCGATATGAGTCATATTAGCCCTGTAACACAGTGAACGTGTTAATAAGTATCACATTTTATGATAAATACTGTTGGATCACAGTAAATATTGATCATGCTAAACGCAAATACAAAGGAAGAATGAAAGGATACATATTGTGTTTACAGTAGCAAATATAGTAATGGTATGGGGGGAAATTTCAATCAAATCTACATTGGAATACATATGACTTCATAAACTTGTAATGTAGCTTTTGTTTGGCTGATGATGGACAGCTGTTTCATGCTAGTGGCCCACTCATCATCGTGCTTTAGGCTTGGCCTCTGGTAGGACAACAAATGGAAGTTAAGAAACTATCCTTTATCCAGAATATAAAGTCAATCATAATAACACAATAAAAAGTGTCATCTATTACTTTCTTAGTGGTAGATTCTGGAAATAGATAGCATGTTGTGCTGTCTTATTTTGATATTTAACTTTAATTTTTTATCTTAATTTCAGAGTGGTACAACCAACATTCTCTTTTGGGTTGAGTTCAAGATTCTAGAAGCATAGATTTGCAAAAGGCAGTGCAACAAAGCATAAATCCAACATCAATTTGATGGTGGTCCCAGATGATCCGTCTTCTACTTCAAATTCAGATCCCCAAACCTGTGTGGTTTTTGAGCAGTTATACTTGAATTGAGCACCTCAAAATACATGAATATGCAAAGTTTCATTCACTTGTAAAAAGATGAAGATGGAAATCCTGACGAATTTGGCTACGTATAGGAACTATACTTACATCCAGTGCAGTGGTATCTGGCTTGACAGGGATCTTCAAGAACCGTTTATCTTCCTTGTCCCCATAAACAGGAGGCATATCTCCACTGAAAAAGGTCCTACACCTTCATATGGGTAGCAAGCGAAAATAGAGACAATAAATATCAGGACATCCAAATATACCATTGATATAATTACCTGCTTATCAAACCCTGCAAAATAGATCTGTAATGGATAAGGTTGATATCCTGGTCAGTATCAGAATCTGAACCAGAATCAGAACTACTTAGGGATGAGTCGTTCTCCTCCATTTGAGATATGTATTATGCATTTATTCTATCACCTTCATCACCTATGGTTGTGGTGAAGATAAACGCAAATAATTTTTCAATAGTTGTTTGCATTATCAGCTGATAAAATTGATAAGGGCTACTGTTAAATGTCAGATTTTGAAGAGGGAAACACACTTGTCATTTTAATTGATCACTACAGACATCATCAGAAAATATGCTAGCCCTCAAACGTAAATGACATACTCATGTAAAGATGGCGCTGGCAACTATATTTTTTGAATCAAATTTCTACACCACAATATAACGTGTTATTCAGACGACGCGTGTCCTTAAATTACAGTATTACGGACCACAGACATACTCTGTATTTTGTTAGTTATTTACTAAGATCTCCATAGATAACGCTATCAATAATAGGGGAGCGAGAGTATAATCTTATATTTTTTTAAAGTACAAAAATCATTTATTTCTAATAATTCATAGATCCTTATGAAGCTTAAAGTTTGCCCAATTTTTCTACATATTGACAATTCCAATAGATGCATTTTTACAGAAGTCGTGGTAGATTTTGTATGCCCGAGTCATACCACCTCACCCCAGGTCCTTGAGAAAGCACTAAAATCTCATTTTCACGGCATTATCGTAACTTAATCGCTTTCCAGCATAATTTCAAATCTCAAAATTGGGGTGATAGCAATGTGTAGTAGTCGCTGTGAAAAACTGAAAAAGCTGGAGGCGCAATTCGGAACGGAAAGAAGAGGAACTTCGAGCACGAGCGTAAGCATTCTCATGTAGCATTCCCTACGCCCGCACATCTCCGTCAAGCGGTCACTCGTTATGTAAAAAATAGACAAATGTTTAGGCTTTATAATTATCTACGAATTAGTGTAAATAAGTTGTGTAGCTCAGAGGTAAAGAGTCTGAAGTACAGTTTCATACAATTCCGAGTTAATATCATAATTAATTTAGATTATTTTGGCTTCTCGGCTTTTATTCTAGAAAAAATCGTAAGCCTCAGATTGTTGGTTATCAATATTCGTAATAATAAAATGTAGTACGACCATTTAAACTTGTGTTTATTTTCACTTGTTTTTCTCATTAATCGTTACATTGCTCTGAGTTACAGGTAATGGTTTTTGTACTGGGAGCTAATATTTTTGGGGTTACCTTCGTACAAAACGTCAATAGTGTTTTACTACGTCCTCCATAGATAGCGCCATCAACATTAAATCACAGGTTTCTATACCGCTTTTAAACAGCGTTGTAGTAATCTCTTGACGATGTCGCTGACAGCAGATGGGAATATTTGATCTTTTCTTGTTTTTTTGAATTTTTAAATTACTTGGTGCATGAAATATCTAAAAAAATAACTGAGCAAAATAGACTGTCTTATTTCATATAATTATGTAGAATTATACTCAAAGCATAAATGTATGATTAAAATTAGACGAGTGGAGGGGAGTAATCAGGGAATTATGTAGGGGAGCGACAGGCGCGTTAATCAACAGTTTCGCGGTGGTAACTAAAGCGATTCGAACATTGAAAAATGCCTGTGACTGAAATTGCCGGGAGACGCCAGTGCATCCCTATACTTTATACAGAAGGCACACATTATGAAGTTGGTTATGATATGGTATGCTTTTTTAAAATTAGCTACTCCTGTTACCCCCTGCCAAAGACGGAACAGAGGCTTTTTTAATTCACCGCAATTTAGTTATTATATATAGTTCTCTAGGTCAAAAAAATCATCCATCACTGATTGTGTTAAGCAAAATTTGGATTATTTCCACGTTAAAATTGATTATTTGTGGCATGTCAAGTACTTGCTTTGTCTAGATCTCTTTCTAAGACTGGTGAAATACTGATACAATATCAAACTAAAGTATTTTCATTGTGGTTTTCAAATTAACAAGATGGTGAAGTAAAAATGTGACTGAAAATTTTGTGTCCACAATTTATCATATCTTAATAGATTACTGTGTATACTCCAAGCAAATTACGACAAATATCTCATTTTCTGCCAGAACTAAAGGACGGAAGCAACTGGGTAAGTATATGGAAAAATGAGAAAAAAATACGATGATTCAAATGCACTAAAATGCAACACTTGCGGTTTCTCAGAAAGATATTACAAATCATCTTTATGTGAAAGGTTGGTAGCTTAATTCTGCTCTTTTTTATCCAACATATAGTATCGATAGCTGTTCCGGCTATCCAGTGATGGTGTCCAGTCCTAATCTTGAACATTCCGTCAATTTATTCTGATCCCCATCTGACATTTACTGCAATAGATTTTTGTTTTGTTTTAAATAAGATGTTCTTCCACCTAAAAATATTTTTGTACATTGACAGAAAAGTAGTGAAATTGAAAAAAATACATTTATTTGACCAACGCTTTGGAAATAATGTCATATATATATATATATATATGTGACTTCTGTAGGCTTACTTAATATGATCAAAATGGTATCTACGAAAATATTTTTTTCATCAAAAAATATTTTTTTCTGACATTCTATACAATTTTAACCGTTCTTATATAAAGGAACTGCAGCATATTTGGAATACTGGTTTGTTTTTTTGGAAATAAATTGCAAGATAAGCGGGATAGCCAAATAAAAAATGCATTAACTTATTGGGAAATCATTAAATTTTAATGATATAAACAATCAAACAAAACAAAAACCAGGAACCCCATCAAAATATTCACCAAAGTAAAAAACTCCAAAAGCGTACATATACTTAGGGTGCAGGTAATTTCGAATATAGTATTACAAATTATAATTACCTTTTTTGTCAATAGTTTGCACTTTTTCTAAGAAACTAATAAATTTCTCAACTTTGGAACCGTTTTACAGCCTTTGGTAAGTAATTATTGATTACTTATCATTATAATTATTATCAATGATTAATTACATTCTTACCGAAAAAGTTTACAAATTAAAAGTTTCGTTATCGTTTGGCTGCTAGCAGGAAATGTGAAGATGGCGGCCAATTTTTAGTACCTACTTGTGGTTTCGTGTGATATACGACAGTATATTCACTTCAGTATTCCAAATATGTTGCACTTCGTCTATTACTTCGCAAGTTTCGTCGAAATCTATTAGTTTTTGAAGTAGACCATGGACGCTCGCAGGAATTTTTCTCAGGGGGCGACAGGCACCTTTTTGTGAAAGTGTATCAGCCCCCAATAAGTTCTTATAGGGGGATAGCAGATTTGTATTAACAGGTCGATGCAAATGATAAAAATCTCCAATATTGTTGTACATAAAGCCTTGCCTCATATGCACATTTTAAGGGCCAATTGTTTCTTGCCGGCGCCCATGAATTGATTTAAGCGATTTCAAAATGAATGTTTTATATTATACAATTTCTTGCAATAAGATTTTTATTAATTTATCGATTAACAGTTTCAGTATGTTTCTGATAAAAAGATACATAATTTTTACATCAAATAATTTCGTGTATAAAGCCCAGTTCGGGAAATAAGAGCGAAAAATTGTTTTAGCCACCTTTGACCACCATTTTTAGAAAACCGCAAACACTGTTGCATTCTAGTTTATTTGAATTACCATATTTTTATCTCTGTTTTTCTATATAGTCACTTCTGTCCATTAATTTTGGCGCCTAAACATTTGCCTGTAGTATGTAACGAAAACGGATGTTCTGGGAAAAACTGTCACCCCCATCAGGAAGTCCTCTGGGCAACAGCTGATAACATACAATTTTCAGAATTTGCGTAACAGTAGCTACGTGATTATATGCCAGAAAACTGTCCAAAATTTGGCCATGGGAACAAAACCTTACCTTGCTTATAGATTATAGGTTTTCCGTGATTTGCACTTAGCAAATGACGTACTAAGCTAGCCAAATGGATAAAAGTTAAAACGTGAAATAGCATACCCTCATAAATAGAATTTGGATAGGGGTTACAATCATATCCTCTGATTGTTGCTACAGTGACATTTGAGTTTGAAAACGAGTATCAAAATATTGATAATAAGTCTTTTTTCGCTGTATGCTGCGGATATAATTTCTGCCATGCTATAATCTACTGATTATCATCACTTTCACCTACATTATAACTAGATGGTCAGAAAACAATTCAGTTACTAGGCTTTTACTTAAATCCGGGCTATGATATAATACATCGTTTCTTTGAAATTTAATGATTTATGTAGGTTCATATTATTGACTTATCTCGGTTTTCTATAATCACACAATCAGGAAAATGTCTAAGATTTTTTAAAGAGGGACGCTGAATGAATCAAAAAGTCGTGTGGAGTACTGTGAATTATCGTTCAAGTTACGAGTTCCTAGCGTTAAATTAACAGAATTCGGAACATACGCACCCGATTTATGCATGATATGCAGGGGTTTTTGAAAATTATCTTGTAGGAAACCTAAAAATATTGGAAATAACTTTATAGGGCAAACTTTCTATTTTTGACTTCCGTTGCCACATGTACTTGGTATATGTAGGTAATTTAAGACTTATTAAAAAAAATATGATAACACATAAGTACTGCAAAATGCAAAAACGAAAATCAAAAACTGTTGCATGAAAGATTCTATCCACGCATATCGTCGGTCTCCGCACGTACCGGCGTAACTAACATTTTACAAATTTTACAGGAGAGCTAGAAAACGAAAATCAGCAATAAATGAGATTGAAAATGATATACTGATTTTTTAGTCTGAACGTTGCGGTTTTTTTTGTATGATGTAGAACCAGTTTTAACGCAGAGGCGTAAATCTATTTAAGCCGGTATGTGGAAATTGTTTTCGGAATTTTATGATTTAGGCAATTTTCTGAAAATTTTAATTCTTAGCAGCGAACTGATATACAGCTACGTCACTTCGTGAAGTAAGAGACTACAAAAAAATCTGTGAAATTACGGCGTAACTCGATTTTAGATTATTTGTCATTTACGCCTGTACGTGCGGAGACCGACGAATATGCCCATTACGAAATCCCTTATGTTTTATGAGTTTATTATTGGTCAAATCAAATATATACAGGATGTAAAGTTAGTAGTGGATCAACGGAAGTCAGGTGATAGAGGCTTTAAAACCTATCGAATGAATCCCGATATGTGTGGTCCGAAAAACGGGATTAAGAACTTTCAATCGCAATTACAACTAAACCATTAGGTTTGATTTTTTTTCTGAGATCAGCTTAATGGTGAGCTTTAGCAATGTTTATGTCACTTTTTAACAGAGCTTATTAGAAATCAACGCAAAAAATCTTAAATTCATTTTTTGTGAAAAATCTCTTCCATACCTCAACTTTGGAGGGCGGTAGAAAAAATTGAGGTTGTATTTCATTATTCATTCAATCAATGTAGAATAAACCCTGAAAATTTCAGCTTGCTACGATGAGTGTATCATGTTACGTTCGTTGTTGTGGTGCGATAAACGTAAGAAACGCAATAGAATCCTTACCACTTACAAGTACAGAACCTATTGTGTTTAGCCGCTCTTTATGGCGATTTACCGACAAATGTGGTAGATAATTTAATTTAACTAACTTTTATACACATACCTTCTAATAATTGACCTTTAGTCTTTGAAATAAATTTGCGTTTTCCATAATTTTTATTTTTGCTTCATCAATTTTCTAACGCAGTTGGCTGACATTTGTATATTCAGATGTATAGATTATCCCCTTATAAAACCCCCACATAAAAAAATATATAGGATTTAAATCGGGTGACCTTGGAGGGCATCGTATGTGTACGAGTTACCTCCAACGCCCAGGAAAGGCAGATTCCAGCCCATAAATTACCGCCGAACCGAAAGCTGTGTCGGCGAATAGCGTGTGGATTTTCCATGCTCCATGAATGGAAATTGTGCATGTTATATATTCCATTTCGGTTAAAGTTGGATTCACCAGTCCATAGGTTTCATCCTCTTCGTACCTTCTCAACATATTCTCACAAAATTCAACCACCCACTGTGCATAGTCGCTTGGAAGCAATTCTTGTACTTTTTCTACATGGTAAGGATACATGTTCTCCGGACGTAGTATTGTGTGCACTGAAGTATGAGATACGAGTATATTTCTGCTTCGGGCAATGGCTCTGGTGCTTATAGAGGGATCTCTCTCGGCTGCTTCTATTATATCTTCTACTTCTTCTGGGCGTATCCTCGGCGCTCCTAGCTGACGATGAGTGTCTAGTATGCTGGACCATTGCCTGGCTCAGTAATTGTGGTCGGACCGAAGATTGAATGCTCCCGCACCTGGAATGCCGAGTTGAATGACCAAGCTCATTAAGCTGATTTGGCTATTTGCGTAAAAAATATGCCATTTTGATTTTACAAAATGTTAATACACATAGTATCACTCGCACTGCTAGGACGAATCTAACAGTACCTCATATGTCAAAATCCATCAAGTCGTTTGGACTGTAGCTCGTAAAATAGAATTTCTTGTCAGCCTTAAACCTAAAGGTTTAGTTGTAATTGCGATTGAAAGTTTTTTTCGAAATTTCTCAGAATTGCAAATATCTCCTGAACTATAAAATTTCAGACAACACATATAGGGGTTTATTCGATAGGTTTTGAGGCCTTCTATCACCTGACTTCCGTCGATCCAGTAGTAACTTTACCGCCTGTATAGAATAGCTCTGC